AAAGGTTTGGAAGAATCGTTAGAACATGATTCTATTGGTTTTAAAAATGCTTCAAAATCAGCATAAACTACGAATGGTATCTTTAACTTTTTTTCATAACTATCAAATTTAATTTTATCATTTGAAATAGGTTGACCAAACCAATTCTTTTTTTTTAAAGTTTCACTGTTTGGTAATACTGTACAAATGTGAGCACAATCGTATTGTTCATGGTTATTTAACCTTTCCTGAGATGGAAAACGAAGTAGACATGCTTCACAAATGTACATGATGTGACCGTCTTTTGAAATTTGTTTACTAACTAACCGCGATAAATTTTTTATATAGCAATAATGATTTTTTGTATCCTTGGAAAAAAATAATAAATTGATATGTCTATCTTTACGACACTTTGTTAAAAATAATGGACCTACTATAGAATTACATCGTTTTTCTTTATTATATTCTAACCCAAAAACATTAATACTAATATCATTTAATTTCTCTACTTTTGCTATGTCAGAAATTTTAACCGGAAAGGAAATACCATCAAATTTAAGTTTATTTGCATGTTTAACGTACGATGATACCCGATCGGTGTGTATGTTTACAGGATATAACGCCGAGAGTAACGCCCATTTAAAACAAAAATAATCCTTGTTTTTTACATTTATAACAGCCTTTTTTAATTTTATGTCACGAGGAAGATCTATGTATGAAGTACCGCGTAGGGGGTTAAATTTATTAACATTCATGTCTATAGATTTTATGTTTTTTAGACTCCATCCACTATCTTTTTTTTCGAAAGCACTAATTTTAGTAGTAATTGTATCATTTAAAGATGAAAGAAAAATATTTAAGTCATCTCCTTGACAAATAATATAGTTAAGCGTTTGAAAATCGAACGTATCATGAATATCTTTAGTTTGTTGAACAAAATCAGCATGCAATATGAAGTTTACCTTAAAAATTATGTGTTGATGAATACACTCTTGTAATAAAAATAAAATATCATCTTTAATAGAATTTAAAAATAGTTCAGGAGTTTCAAAATTTACCCATGTCGAACGATCTACTCTACTCTTGATTTTATAAGTTAAAATCCTATTTCCAAAAGCAGATTCAATAACACTAACGTTTGATAAAGAATTATGTGAATTTAAAAGATTATTTTTATGAACATTACTTTTAAAATGATTAGCTAAATACCGTTTCTTGATAAATATATGGCACGTTGGACATTCCACTTGATCATCGTTACTGATACTGTTCCCTGCAGAGGTATGCGCTTCTGCTTCCGTTGTTGGTTTTTTGATGATCTTGGATTCTTTGCTGCACGTTCGCTTCGTTCCTCTTCCAAGTTGTAGTGGTTGACTGCTAAAATGTTTAAATTTATTAAAAACTGTATAAGACAATATGTAAATTATGATCGAAATGAATGTTTATTTTACATACTTAAACTGTGTTTCAACCATCGCACAGTGATGATACAACTCATCATCGTATGACGAATCGAACAGTTGACCCCTCTCCATTTCTTCACAAACTTTAGACAACTCCTGATTTAATTCGCTATTGAATAGTTCCGTATTCTCTTCCATGATTGTGGAGAAAAAAGCACTGGTGCACACTTCACTGAAGTTTTCCCTTCCTCTTTTTTATTTTTGATTCAGCTTCAAAAAAATGATCAATCGATTGCGATTTTCTTTTTCCACCATCGCATGTGTTATTATTAATGACGAGGTTATCACTCTCTTCTTGAGGGGAGAGTGGCGAGTAGTAATACTGTTTATAGGTATCTTCATCGAAGCTCAATGATTTCTGCAACAACACAGTTATCATGTTAATATCAATTTGTTAACACTTAATCATAAAAGTTAAAAAAGTTAAAGTTACAGCCTATTAAAGTCCACTGCTGAACATAGGCCTCCTCTCATTTCTGAGAGGGTTTTAGAGCAAGGAAATGTCCGCCGCGCTCCCTCAATGTGTGTTGGCGAACTTCACATGCCTTCGAAATTTTCTCAGACATGCAGGTTTCCTCACGATGTTTTCCTTCACCACCAAGCACGTGGTAATAAGCACTTAAAATTGCTATTAACAATTTAATTGGTGCTGGCGGGGATCGAACCCGGGTCGCGTACTGTGAAATTTACAGCTAGCGCTAACCATCTGAGTTACCACGGCTTAATCATATACATACACAATATTTAAATAAAATAATACACACACATGAAAATAACAGAAAAAAAGTAATTTAGTCAATAGAATAAACACTTACATCCATAGCCTTTGGTGTATTGAAGTAACACAAATGTACTATTGATAGATCCACTGTAGCCAAACGACCGTACACTAACTCGATGACTGCGTTTGTTGGTCTTATATACCACCAGTACGTAAAAATTCTAATCTAAAGTATTTCCGTAATGAGTTGATAATTACTTTATGCGTCAACCAGTTTATCTCACATTTCCGTTGCCTATCTCAACATTTCTTCGTATTGTGTTTTGTTTGGTGATCAATGACTCAAGTACGATTTGTATAACACAAAAATGCAATTTAATATTTAGAAACATATCAGTTTATCTCACATTTCCGTTGCCTATCTCAACATTTCTTCGTATTGTGTTTTGTTTGGTGATCAATGACTCAAGTACGATTTGTATATCACAAAAATGCAATTTAATATGTAGAAATCACTATAATTGACCATTCCTATGTTATTCATTGAGTAGCTAGGTACTGTAATAATCTACTAATAGCAGTAATATCATGGATACACTAGATGTACAACAACATCTGAAAAAGATTCACCCCAGTCTAGAAAATAATGTTTATGCAGCTAATAGACTGCCTATGTATACCCACGTACCAACGTATATAATATGTAATTTGGATACAGATGATAAACCAGGGTCACATTGGGTAGCTTTATATATCGATACGAATGACGTCGGTCAATATTTTGATTCATATGGACGATCACCTGTACGATATCATCTAGAGTTTTTAAAAAGGAATTGTAAAAGATGGAACTGGAATGTTGATAGGATTCAGAATGAGTGGACTTCAGTTTGTGGCGAATATTGCTTAATGTATTTGCTATATAAATTTCAAGGATGTTCAATACATAGTTTTACGAGTATATTTACAAGGAACACATTGTACAACGATATTTTAGTGGATGAGATGTTTCGCTCCTATTTTATAGATAATAATTAATAAGATTTTGTATTTTATAAATAAAAATTGTAACAAAATTATGTAATGTGTTTTATTGATGATTCAGATTAGCGTTGTATAAACAAAGAATTATAATAAACAATAGCACTGATATAGTCGACGCACACGCTGCAATGAAGGTGATTAAGGAACAATAGAACAATAGAAATAGGAACAATGGGACGCTAATGACGGTGGAGGCCCTTACCGGATATCAATTAGATATTAGCTAATTGATCTACACATCTCTGGAACCGTGCATTCTACACAAAAATGGACCGCGGATTCGTGATCAGAGCATGCCAAAACCTTTTTTTTTTTTTTTTTTTTTTTTTTTAGGATCGGGCGTCGACGATCGTCGTTGAACCACGTCTGACTCAGGTGGTCTAGAAGTGGTACAACTACACTACTTTAATCTCTAGTCGTACTTGCTGTTGCTAAAAATATGAAGCAGGTACTTGTGTTTAATTACTGTTGTATAGAATAAGTTTTTTTATTTTTTTATTTTTATAGGATAAGGGTGACAAACGAGCACACAGTCCACCTGATGGTAAGTGGTTGCTGCGGCCTATAGACATCTACATCTATCTTCGATTACGAATCAAAATGCAGATGCGTTGTCACCCGTGAGGAATAAGATGGAATGCCTCATTTCCAGTAAAAAGGGTCTCCGGTTCTCTACACTCACCATACGAAACACAGCAGCGTTAAGCTGCTATTTTACGCAGGTATTCTGTGAGAGCGTGGTCCTTCCTCGGTCGAGCCGACCCATTCGTGCTACAACCATAATATAGCTGCAGCATGGCTCTACCTCGTTTAAATCCTAACCTAAATCACACGTCACACGTCACTTTAAATTATACTGGGTTAATAGCAAACCCCTAACCGTAAGCCGGTTTCGTACGTTTCACCATTGAACTCCCATTACAGAGCTCCATTACTCTCTTTCAACATTCGCGTTCTGGGCTGTCATAGCAAAACCGGCGCACAAAACTAACTTTAAACTTATTTCTACACTACATTTTCGCAGTGTTACCCGCGTCCAAGTTGTAACCTCTTTCAGACAGTCATGACCCACGCTTCTTAAGAGATCGCACAGTGCGGAAATAATACATAGATTACATCGCGCGCGCTCGCGGCAATACAATGTCAGGACATTTTTATAGAAATTACGCTTTTTGCTACGATTTTCCAGTGAGACACCTGGTAGCACTATGTGTGATGGACTTTATTTCCCAACTAGAGATAGATATTTCAGCATTGCACTGTTTACAATCTTAACGTGTTTTCTTTTTTTGTATTCAAAAAGCTTTCGCAAACCGGTGGGCGATTTTTGATATATAAAAATTGCTTTTTAACAGGTTTTGCAGCAGTCTTCTATAGCGAGGACATCAACAAACTGCTCATAAAATGGGAAGAATATGTCAACAGTTTTGGCAAATATTTTTCTTAGTTCTTTTTGTAAAAAAAAATATTTAAATTTTACCGTTCTAAGCTCGTGTTGAGGCAGTGTAAGAATATCCTCTGCCTCATATCATTCCGTCGGTGTCGTAAGAGGCGACAGAGGGAAATAAACCAGGAGATGGGCAGCAGCGTCTTCCTAATATCGACTAAAAATAAAAAATAAACTGCGGCTGCCACCCCGGGTGGTAACTATAGCAAATATCTCCCTATGAGCCAATCAATAGAGGAGGCCTATGTTCATCAGTGGACTTTAATAGGCTGTATCGGAACGAATATTAAACGCCGATTTTTTTAGGTAAAGATCGAATATTACGATTGTTTTAAAAATGTTTTACCTCTTAGCTACAGAAGTGGCAAAGCTCGAGTTATCCAGATGTAGTACCATGGTAGTATTTTGTTTCAGGGCCTCTACAGTCAACAACTAAAAAGGAAAATTTCGAAACCGTGCTGAATAATTTTAGTAGGTATCTAACAAAAACAAATGTATATAAAGTGAAGTGAAGATCATGTGTGATTTTTGTCTGGTTCCTATGATCAAGACACAACACATCTAGACTAGGCAAAAGACGATTGAAAACCTTGATGTTGACCTTGATGTTGATGGTTAAATCTCTTCATATAAACAAAATATTTAAAAAACCCAAAAGTGCACGCCTCATGAGCGTTTCATTTAATTTTTAATAATATACTAATCTAATAACTAGAAAATAAACTGATCTTATAATTCAATGTCTGTAGTTATTGTAACGTTAATAAATATGGATTTGATGTCGAACTAAAAGTGTAACAACCATTTTATGTAGCGAAATTGAGGTATGGCCACATATCAAGATCAAGAGTAGAGCTCTCCCTCATGTTGTGAGGCGTGCAATTGAAGTTTCCGACTGTAAAATCGAATTACCTGCGAAAGACTGCCTGTGCTCGAGGCTGGTAAGATTTATTATTATATTAGCCCCCTGCCTTGGCTTCGCCTGGTTGTTATATAATAATGTCATTTATGTAATAAGATTTTTTTGAGAATAGATTTTTTATTTCCGAAGAGTAACCCGGAGAGATAGACAGACAGACACATAGAGACGAATATTTTAAGAATTTCTACGTGGTAGAGCCATGCTGCAGCTATATTATGGTTGTTTTTTTTATAGGAGTGGGGGCAAACGAGCATGCGGCTCACCTGATGGTAAGTGACTACCGCCGCCCATGAACAACTGCAACACCAGGGAGGGAATTGCAGATGCGTTGCCGGCCTTTTAAAAAGGAGTACGCTCTTTTCTTGAAGGTCCCTAAGTCGTATCGGTCCGGAAAAATCGCTGATGGTAATCGATTCCACAAGGAAGTCGTGCGAGGAAGAAAACATCTTCTAATCGCACAGTGGTGGACCGCCAATCATCCAGATGGTGTGGATGGTATCGGGAGTTCTGCCGCGATGTGCGTTCGTGAAATTTGGCGGCGGGGATTAATCCGAACAATTCCTCAGAGCACTCCCCATGGTAGATGCGAAAGAAAATGCAAAGGGATGCAACATCTCTTCGCAGTGCCAATGAATCGAGCCGATCGGAAAGGGTTCGGTCGTCGACGATTCGAGCCGCTCTGCGCTGGATGCGGTCAAGTGGGGAGCCCCTGCCCAGAGATGGGAACAGTATTCCATGTGAGGCCGAACCTGCGCCTTGTAAAGTTGCGGGCGGTGTGCCGGCATGAAATACTGTCCCGCTCTGCTGAGCACGCCAAGCTTTTTAGAGGCCAATTGTAATTGTAGCACGAATGGGTCGGCTCGAACGGGGAAGGACCACGCTCTCACAGAAAACCAGCGTAAAATAACGGCTTAACGCTGCTGTGTTTCGTATGGTGAGTGTAGAGAACCGGAGACCCTTTTTACTGGCAAAGAGGCATTCCATCTTAGTCCTCACGGGTGACAACGCATCTGCATCTTGAGTCTTTATTGAGGATAGATGTAGATGTCTATGGGTCACAGTAACCACTTACCATCAGGTGGATTGTGTGCTCGTTTGTCACGCGATCCTATAAAAAAAAGAATGGTTATTCATGTGGATTTAGGAAAGCGTGCGAAGGAATTGTGACTTAATTCCTCCCTCTTCGTTCCATTATCGGACAACCAAACGTTCAGCTGGTCTCCATCCCTTTGTTTTTTTTTATATAGGATAGGGTGACAAACGAGCACATAGTCCACCTGATGGTAATTGGTTGCTGTGGCCTATAGACATATAAATCTATTCTCGGTTAAGAATCAAAACGCAGATGCGTTGCAACCCCTGAGGACTAAGATGGAATGCCTCGTTTCCAGTAAAAAGGGTCTTCGGTTCTCTACACTCACCATAGGAAACACAGCAGCGTTAAGCTCCTACTTTACACTGGTATTCTGTGAGAGCGTGGTCCTTCCCCGGTCGAGCTGACCCATTCGTGCTACAACTATACCAGTAATATAGCTGTAGGTCTATCGCGTATAAATTGAAAATTTCGAAGATGATCCCATAATAAAAAATATTCATGTTGTTTGCTGTAGAAATCTTGGGATTTTGATTAAAAAAATTCGACAAGTAGTTTTATTTGATATATTCAGAGATTTGAAGGAACATGGATTTAGTCATCCCATTTATAATGAAAAAATTATAAACTTAAATATAAAAACCTCCAAAAAGCTTTCTTTTAAAGAACACAAGCAACGAAAGAAAATAATGACTAAAACTTTTAAACCAGTTTTAAGTACTCAAGCAAATACTGGATTTTTAGGAATGTTAGTGTGTATTGAAAGTCTCAAACAGATAACTAATTTTGTGATCTGGCGTTATCATGATGAAAGACCACTCCTTTTCTGATTATCAATGTCAGCCGTTTTTTTTTCTATTTCTTGCTTGTCTCATTATTTATTGGTAGTAGAGATACGAATCGATGGTTTTACCAGGCGGTAAAAGCTCATGATAAACTTTCAATCCTACCATACACACAGCATCATTTTATTGCGTGTTAATACCGGTTTCGCTTTAGACTGTAAACAAAACAGATATCAATACAGAAAAAAATCACGTTTCTTGTATGGTCTTCATACAAGAAACGTGACTTTTTTGGGTCCTTTAATATTTTACTTGTTTTCTTTTTTATTTTATGTTGTTATAGCAGCAATATAAATACACAATCTGTGAAAATTCTACATATTACGGCCTACTGACAGACAGACGGAGCGATAGTGTACACTTGGGTCCCGTTGATACTCTTTGGGTACGGTACGGTACCCTAATAAACGGCAACTATATCATTTGAGCAATACTACAGAAATAAACATTAAATAATATAGAATTAGGTTATATTATAATAAGTTAAATATATTATATTGTAAAATATAGTAACAATAAATTCACATATAAAAATCGCAGCCTAGGGGAACTTTATTTATGCATTCGCGGCAACACTGAATAGCGTCATTGATATTTTGTGATTTATTTATGGCTCGTGTTATTTTGTGTTAAAATTTCGAAATTGTATGATACTTAATGATAGTATGTTATTCCAGTTTCTTTCTTATTTCTTGTAGTATTATTTTTACACAGTTTCAATACGTAAACTGGTATTTTACTTCGGATTATGATCAAAATTTAATAAAACATTCGGTACGTTCACCTCACACGTTGCCTGCAACGCGACTGGCTCGGGTACGCTGATTTCGGCGTAGTATTTGTTGCCGCATTTTACATGAGCGCCGGCGGTATCTAGTAACATAATTTTTAAAAAATTTGCCTGTCTATCTCTGTTTGTTACGGCTAATTTCCTAAATGGCTGGACCGATTTCGACGGGAATTTCATTGGCAGATAGCTAATGATATAAGGAGTAACTTAGGCTACTTTTATTTTAGAAAAATAATTGGGGTGCGCACAAAAAAATTAAAAGCCTAAATTATACGCGGGCGAAGTCGCAGGGGCCAGCTAGTGTACAATAAAATTGTAAAATTGTGTAAAATTGTAGGTACTTACTTCACCATGAAGAGTTTTCATTGAACTATGATCCTTCTCCAAATAGGTCAGTAACGTGGATAGTGAAATTCCTATCGTGACACCAGCAGTTACCGCGGATAGTATCTATTATCATAAAACATTATCGTTAGCTTCCTTGAAGATAGGCTGGGTGAGTAGTCTAGGTGATTGTACACATCTGTCATTTTTACGTGGTAGAGCCACGCTGCAGCTATATTATGGTTATAGCACGAATGTGTCCGCTTGACAGAGGTAGGACCACGCTCTCACAGAATAACGACGTAAAATAGTACCTCAATGCTGCTGTGTTTTTTGGAAATGAGGCAGTCCATCTTAGTCTTCAGGGCTGACAACGCATCTGCATTTTGATTCTTAATCGAGAGGCCACAGCATCTCACCATCAGGTGGACTGTGTGTTCGTTTGTTTCTATAAAAAAACATTTCTATATAAAGACATTCTATAAAAAAAATCTGTCACTAAGCAGGAGTGCGTGCATTGCTCTGTTCTGGTCTACAGGGTGTAGAGAGCCAACATAATTGTGAGATGTTTTATGATAGTCTTCAGTTGTGGCAACCCATCTTATAATATCCTTCTTTGCTTGAACTTAGTTGCAAATGTCCATCGACTATAGTAGCTATTTATTCAGGTAGACATTTAAAAATGTTTTTTTAATATCTATTAAATAATCTTGTACGTGCTAGAGCCACGCAGCAGCTATATTTATAGTATAGTTGTAGCACGAATAGGTCGGCTCGACTGGAGAAGGACCAGGCTCTCACAGTATGTGTATGGTGAGTGTAGAAAACCGGAGATCCTTTTAACTGGAAAAGATGCATGTGATGACATTTGCCATTTTAATTTTATAAACAATAAGTTCTCTACTGGATATAGGGCTTCTCAAGACTGCGCTATAGTCATAACGCTGGGCGAGATAGTGAGCATAAATCCAATACTGTTTTTTTTTCTTTTATAGAATAAGGGTGACCAACGAGCACACAGCCCACTTGATGGTAAGTGAATACTGTGGCTCATAGACATCTACATTTATACTCAATTAAGAATCATAATGCAGATGCGTTGTCACCCCTGAGGAGTGAGATGGAATGCCTCGTTTCCAGTAAAAACGGTCTCCGGTTCTCTACACTCACCACACGCTGTTATTATATCAGAGCGTAGTCCTTTCCGATCGAACTGACTCATTCGTGCTACAACTAAATCATTGTTGCAGAATGGCTCTGCCATGTACAAACCCTACAACTTTCCTCAGTCTAGAATTAAAATGCAGATAGATGCGTTGTCACCAATAATATCTCATTCAGGAATGCCTCTTTAATAGTAAAAAGGGTTTTCGGATTTCCGATTCAGGTCATTCTTCGTACGAAACACAGACCAGTATATTGCTGCTTCTTCATATTGGTATGTGAGGGCCAGGCTCTACCTTCCCCGTTCGAGCTGGCTTATTAGTGCCGCAGTCATAGGCATATAGCCATATGTTTATCCACTGCCGACTTGGCAACAGATCGGTAAGACGATAATGAGGGCATCCACGACTTTTTCTGCCACCAGGGCGGCGCCACTAGAAAGAGAGTTAACTTCCCCGCTATGATATTTGACAGATTTCATAGCGGGGAAGTTAATTTGTTCGGAAAATGTCGGAAAAGTGTTTCTTTCTGTATTGGCTATATTTTGTATTAATAAAATTAAAAATAAATAAACCAAACCACAGATATTCATAAAAAATTAAAGAGAAAACCACTGACGCATTGTTTTGTGTATTAATATAATACACTAGAAACTGATAAACTTTTATTAAAAAAAACTTCTCAATTAAATTACATTGCGTAACAAAAAACTTTACCTTAGTGTCAACTAACGACATCTGGTGAGCAGAAAATTATTAGCTCTCATTGAAACACGGCAGTAAGGACGATTGAAATTATCTAATTTATTTATTAATTATTTTGCTACATAATAATAGTGAATTTACATCTGAAATTCCATTTCATTTATCTGCATACTAATGATATCCATAACTTCATCTATCATAGTCGGCCTCCTCCATGTATTACTTCATGGGAGTATATTTGCCGTAGTCGCCACGTTTGGCAATAAGGTTGGTAACCAAATTTTTAGTTGTTATACGAAAGATATGCTGCTGCCCATTTCCTGTTTCAATTCTCTCTGACACATTTTACGCCACTCATGGGATGATATGATAGTGGATTCTCTTTACTGCATTACAGTTTTATTATTGACGGCTTCGTGACGCAGTGACTTAGCAATTGAGTGTAGTATTTGTATGGCCTACAAATAATTGTTCCGGGTTTAGATGTTAGTCCTTGTGCAATTTGTGTTTGTAAACTGCCTCCACGATACAGGAGAAAATCCTGGTTTGGATGTTACTTTTAAAAAAACTTTACATATACATTACCGTCATACTAAGGAAGAGCTTGTGGTAAGTGTAAAATGTGTAATATTTCCATCCGATGACTTTAAGTTGCACACCAACGCTGCATGCCGTTGTATGTTTTTTCCAAATTGGTTGCTCTGTTTTTAAATATTGAATATAATGTTTCGCAATGAAATAATCAAGTCAGTAATCAATCAAGATGGAGTGTCACTAGACGGAGTGACGACCTGGTGAGACATTTTATTTTTTTATTTTATACTATAAGGGTGACAAACGAGCACACAATCCATCTGATGGTAAGTGGTTGCTGTGGCCTATAGAAATCTACATCTATTCTCAATTACGAATCAAAATGCAAATGCGTTGTTACCCATGAGGACTAAGATGGAACGCCTCTTTTCCAGTAAAAAGGATTCTCTACACTCACCTAACGAAACACAGCAGCGTTAAGCTGTAACTTTACGCTGGTATTCTGTGAGAGCGTGGTCCTTACCCGGTCGAGCCGACCCATTCGTGCTATAACTATACTACTTATATAGCTGCAGCATGGCTCTACCACGTATAAAGGTGGCTCAGGGCCGTGTATTTTGGCATTCCTTGGGGGAGGCCTTGTTTAGCAGTGATTATGATAATGGTTCAATCAAGAATATTTACTTAAAATTACATTTTTATCGAAGAATTGGTGACAAATGAGCACACAGCAAAAATATCGATATATCGATATTTTTACCCAAGCCTACTCTTGACACTAATCTTTGGCTGGCATTCTCTGCGGGCGTGATCCTTTACCAATCGAAGCGACCGATTGTGCTGCGGCTATCCATAGAGTAACTTTTTTATAGACTGAGGACAGCCACGAGTATCAAAAGCTACAGTGTAACTCTACTACGTATTGATTTAAAAGCCATGATGAAATTTAAAATAAAAAATTGAATTTCTATTAATTTACGTAGAAAAGGTCTTATCACCTTTTGTCATTTTACATATATTTTTCTTCCAAAAAGATGTTGAAGTAAAAAAAAACAAATTGATTTTACATCAATACTTTAAGAAGAGCGAGATGAAGTGTATTTTTTTTTGTTAAAATCCTTATGTTTTTCGGATAAAATAGTCTAGATCACTCCTAGTATATTTCTGTCTCTGTTCATGAAGTGTCATTAGAATAGGTTCAGACATTCCAAAGGCTAGTCCGGTCAGACATACAGACAAAAATTTTAAGAATGGATATTTTACTGGCATGCAAACATGCTAGTAAAATATTTAAAACCCTTGAATTTACTAGAAGCTACAAGTTTTTGTTTGTGTGTATAGGTTTAGTAAGTTAGTTTTTTTAAAGTTATTTTAGCTTCTTTGTAAAAATCTGTCGCTACTAAAAATCTGTGTAATGTAGAAGTGAGAAATTAGTGCAAAAAATCACATTAATAAAAACCTTACCGCCGATCTGTTTCAAAGCATTGTTTGATATGTCTCGTGTATCTGCAGAAGATTGGAAAAGTGGTGTTCCCAAATTCGACTCATGTATAGCCCTAAAACGGATTTCAAATTTATTGGCCGATTTCAAAGCAAGAGGTTTCTAATATTCAATTGTATTATGGTTTTTTTCGTACGTATATTAGGTGATATCTTGATCAATTGGAACTGATTTTAATTATTATTTTTTTACTAAATGGGCTATGCTTCAGGAGTCCCATATAGAAGAAAAGTTTCAATAGTAAACTATTTACACGGCATTTTAGTTGTTACGTTGAGCTTGTGATAATACTTAGTCCGCTCAAAAGGGTTACAAAATTAAACCTTTAATAAAAAGTAAAATCTGGCTTCAAAGAACTAAATAGAATAAAATCATTTCCACATAAACCCTCACAGAAATGAGAGGAAGCCTGTGCCCAGCAGTGGGATGTATATAGGCTGGAACGTTTTTTTAACTTAATTTCCACATAACAGCTTTAGAAGTCGGTACTTCTTTATAGAATAAGAGGAGCAAACGAGCACACAGTCCACCTGATGATAAGTGGTTGCTGTGGTCCATAGATATCTACATTAATACTCAATTAAGAATCAAAATGCAGATGCGTTGTCACCCTTGAGGACTAAGATGGAATGCCTCGTTTCCAGTAAAAAAGTTCTCCGGTTCTCTACACTCACCATACGAAACACAGCAGCATTATAAGCTGATATTTTACGTTGGTATTCTGTGAGAGCGTGGTCCTACCCCGGTTAAGCGGACCCATTCATGTTACAACCATAATATAGCTGCGGCGTGGCTCTACCACGTAAAAAATATTTAGGCTTTAATACTTCTAAATGTCTGTCACGTCTTACGGCACACAGGATATGGGGTAGTGGATATTCTTACAGCGCCACTACGCAGTTGTGCCAATTATAAAAAAAATATTTACCTATGGCAAACTTCCTCTGAATCTGGTATACTGATATTCATAGAAGTAATTCCGTATGCATTTGAGTTCTCGGCCAAGTTTCTGATCAACGCTGCTACCTTGGCAGTGGGAGTTGTAGGCAACCTAAGTATGAGCAGGGAGCCTAAATGAGCTCGGACTTTAGCACCGGCTACGTGGGCTTTCTGTAGGATTTCCGGTATTGCCTCATTGTCGAGACTGCCGCTTTGGAATGTTAGTCGTACGCGATATTCTCGACCTACGGAGAAGAGAGCCCTTTTTAGACATCAAAAGGAGCATCACGTTTTGCTTGGAGTATTTAACGTCGTTGTAAGTTTTATGCGATGAGTGTCGTCTATTGAGTTATATGTACTACGTACTAGAGAAGCTATTCCAAAGAAAAATAGTGCGCTACTCTATGTCTTCGCGCATGCGCGGGTGATAGTACAGTCGCGCATGCGCGAAGACTCTAATTTAATATAAAAAAGATATTAATATAAAATACTAATATAAAATATATATTATAATAATTAAGAATTTCATATAGAAGACTCTTATTTTAATCTAAACAAACATATTTCTAAATAAAATGTAATAATAATTATCTTATGGAATTCACAAATCTTCAATTTACGCAATATTTAGTTTAGTGTACGGATTGCAGTACAGTTCAGTTGAACATAGTCAATGTTCGGAATGCGAAATCTAGTGCGTAGTACATATATATAGGTAGACACTGCCTCAGCTATATGCCTAATGGTTACTCTTCGATCTGCTAATACGACATCTTCAACTTTTTTCTCGTTATCTTCAGTGAGGTAAGGGTTGTGGATGGGAGTCCTTCACAATGTTCGTATTCCATGGATGATCTGCCCAGCTTAAACTCCTTGGGCTACTATGGAATATGGACGAGCAGAGTCCCCCAATGTTTCCACAAGTCACTGTGTATGTCTTTGGTAGACATTTTTTTAAACAGAGGTACTTAATGACGGCTGTAATTTAGCTTTTTTTTAAGAAATTGCCATTACTTAATTCCTCCCTATTCCTTCCACCAACGGACAACTAGACAGTCGGGCGCCCGTCCAGTCTCTACCCCTTCGTTTCTCGTCCACTTGCTACTACGCCAACGATGCGGGGTAGTATTAAATAATATATATATATATATATATAAAATGTTATAACAATTTAATGAACGTGACATTACGGAATCGTTAAATCATTTAACGATTTTCGTTGTGTTTACAATCATTTTTTTTAATAGATTGAGTGTGACAAACGAGCACACAGTCCACCTGATAATAAGTTGATGCTGTGGCCTATAGACATCTACATCTATCCTCGATTAAGAATCAAAATACAGATGCGCTGTCACCCCTGAGAACTAAGATGGAGTGCCTCGTTTCCAGGGTCTCCGGTTTTTTACATTCAACATACAGAATACAGCAGTGTTATGCTTATTTATTAAAACTGCTATTTTACACTGATATTTTGTGAGAGCGTGTTCCGATCCCGGTGGAGCCGACCCATTCGTGCCACAACTAATATAGCTGCAGCGTGGCTCTGCTACGAATTCATAATATTATATACGTAGATTTGTGCAACACGTTGCGTAAGTACGTGCAGGGCTGCTACCCTCACACTGGTAGCTCTGCTCCTTGTACCACTCACTGGAATTCTGTTTCAGTATTATCAACTGGATATACCGCCATGTGTAGGTCGCTGCCAACCCGCTTGCCAGGTGTGGTAACTATGGCAAATATTTCCCCTATGAGGCAATCTATGGTGGAGGCCTATATTCAGCAGGAGGCTGTAACGGTAAGTAGGTAACTAGAGTTTCTTTCGAGTTAGAAGGATAGAGATGAGGTTGGTGTTTGTAGAAGTTGTCATATCCTCTATTCAACCTACCAAATTTGAAGAACAAATAAGCAGGAGTGCCGCCGAAGACAAGAACTTTATTATTAAACAAGAAGACTCGGTCCGCGTATTCCAGTTTAATGCTGGCGAAGCAAAACTTCACTATAGTTATATATTTCTTGTAGCGCTGGAAGAACAACGCAACATAATATATTGACCAAAGATTTTACTTGGAATTGAAATTGTATTGACAGTGAATAAGGATCGGAAGATTTGGTTAGATGACTGAAAAATTAAATAATATTTAAATTCGAACAAGTAATAATGGCTTCCACATAGAATTCCAGTTACGATGTCCAGTCTCGACGGAGGCTAGCCTTCTGTAAGTGTATGCGCAAGCACAGGTACACTCTATTACCTCACTCTCATAGTCCGATGAGACGGTAATCCTACACGAGCGGAGAGAGATCAGGATTCTAACAAGTACAATATATATAAAAAAGATAATATAATATGTGTACTATTTATTCTATGGTAACGTGTAAGAGAACACACACACACACACACACACACACACACACACACACGCACGCACGCACACACACACGCGCGCGCACGCACGTACGCACGCGCACACGTATACGCACAAGCACACGCACAAGCACACGCATACGCACACGCACACGCACACGCACATGCACACGCACACTCACATGCACAAGCACACACACACACGCACACGAACACGAACACACACACACACACACGCACACGAAAACGCACAAGTACACACACACACACACACACACACACACACACACGCACGCACACGAACGCACGCACGCACGCACGTACACTCGCACGCACGTACACTCGCACGCACGCACACTCGCACTCACGCATGTACGCACTCACCCGCGCACGCGCGCACGCACACGCACACGCACACGCATACAAACACGCACATGCACACGAACACGAACACGAACACGAACACGAACACGCACACGCAGACGCACACGCACATGAAAACGCACACGCACACGAAAACGCACACGCACGTCCGGGCGTCCAGCCGGCAACAGACGGAATGGCTTCCTAGGACCTCAAAACGTGGAGATCTGATGAAAACTCGCATTCTCAAAATCGGGCCGAAATCTATAACTTCCTACTTTTGAAAATTATTAATTTTCAAAGCGAGAAGCCAATTATGACTTCCGATAGACGGTGGTATGACCAAGGCCAGACATAAAATAACCGGTCCGGTGACGGGCTGCATTGTCAAAGGTGCACGAGCAAGCGATCGGCAATCCATATGTACATGCGTGACGGTTAACGCAAACGCTTTCTACAACGAAAGAGGCTCTTGTCCAGCAGTGGACTTTGATGAGGAAGAAAAAGAAGCATCACTGTTACTTCTTTGTTACAAAAATATAGTCACTACGTGTGATTGTTAAGGGCAAAATTCAAGGGACGACTTGATATTGCCTTTTTTAACAAACGAAAATGTTTTATACAATTTTAAACACAAATTTAATAAAAAATATTGTTTTCTTTTTTATAGAATTAGGGTGACAAACGAGCACACAGCCCACATGATAGTATGTGGATGCTGTGGCCTATAGTCATCTACATTTATCCTCAATTAAGAATCCAAATTCAGATGCATGGTTCCCCCCTGAGGACTGAGATGGAATGTCTCGTGTCCAGTAAAAAGGGTCTTCGGTTGTCAACACTCTCCATATGAAACACAGCAGCATTAAGCTGCTATTTTACGTTGGTATTCTGTGAGAGCGTGGTCCTACCCCGACCGAGCCGACCCATTCGTGCTACAACATTAATATTGGTGCGGCGAGACTCTACCATTTATTATTTATTTGTATGTGATTAATTATGTTGATAATTTACCATAATCTTATCTTTTATCACCGCTTCGTAAGTAGGCGTAGAAGTTAAACTGTTCACTATTATAATCTGAAATAAAACATGAAAGTTTGCTAATTTAGTTCAGCCGTACCTAATTATTATTGTTATGTCCTATGCTGGGTGCATAGTTTGTAGGCTTATCCTTCAACATATTCAATATTTTCAAGGTATGCCAGCAGTATTTAGATTGTTGTTAATTTATAAAGCTGTTTTGTTTCATTTTCTTGGTCCAGCTTTACTTTATATAATTGCATGTTATGATTTTGTAACGGCAATTTTAGTTGTAAAATACCTGGCGGGTGTATGCCAGGTGTTTTACTTTATTCTTTGAGCGTTTGTTTTATGGTTTGACGATATCCAGTATAATTAGTGGCAATGAGTTTCTGCATCTTCGTAGGTACTAAGGGAGATCAATACATCTGCAGTTTTTCTTGTTTAAGTTAATTAGTCCATGGGCTACAGAACCCTCTTATATATATACTTATATATTTTAAATTGTTTATTCGGTTTTGCAAACACACCTAAAAGTATATTATATATATATATATATATATATATATATATATATATATATATATATATAATATATAATATTATGCTGGCTTGATTATTTCTTATATTTACGGGAATACTATGTACATACATCAAAGTAGGTTTTTAATGGATTTTCTGCCGACTTCCAAAAACGAGACGGTACTCAATTCGACCCGTATGATTTTTTTTTATGTGTGTTACCTCATAACTTTTTACTGGGTGGACCGGTTTCGATGATTCTTTTTTATATGAAAACTAATAGTTCTCGTGTGGTCCCATATGAATTTGATCTAGGTCAGACCAATGGTTATTGAGTTATTCTTAAATAACTTATATTGAAGTCGCTTATATTGAAGTCGGCTGTACAAAATTTTTAATTTTTAATTATATTGCGTTTAATTTACTGATAATGATGATTAAATAATCTATTGATTGCGCATGAGAATTATAAATATGAATGAAATGAATGAAATACACTTTATTGTACACCAAAAAATACATATGAGAAGAAAAAAGAACATAATTTATTTAAACGTACAATTGGCGGCCTTATCGCTTGGGAGCGATCTCTACCAGGCAACCACATTGCAGAGGATAAAATGACCTGTGAGAAAGGGTAAGGAAATGAACAAACTGACAAGAGTTTATAACGGTAGATTCAAAAGTAGGACACAAACCCTTGGTTCCAAAAGAATTGCTATCGCCCAGCACAGTTGCGCCTGATAGTAAACGTCCAAATTCTCCACAAATTGGTCCTTCACGGCCTTTAGGTCACAGTCTTGCAGAAGACGTTTCATTCGAATTTGACTATACTCAGTAACGTAACTGCTTGACTCGTTCCATATACAAATCTGATTGAAAGATTAAACATAGTTTGTTATAGGGCCGATGTTGCCAGTTTAATTTTATAAATAGAATAAATTCTCTACTGGATATAGGGCTTATAATGACTGCGCTATAATCATAACGCTAAGCGAGATAATGAGCACAGAGCCAATACTCTTTTATTTTCTTTTATAGAAGAACGGTGAAAAACGAGTACACAGTCCATTTGATAGTAAGTGGATGCTATTGTTCATAAATATCTACATCTATCGTCGATTAGAAATCAAAACATGGTTATAAAGTAGTTATTCCACATTTAAATATTATGTAAATAATATTTTTATAAGTACCGGCGTGATCGAACTTGGGTTGCTAACAAATCATGAAATTTAAGCACCATTAGAACCGTAAGCACCGTTTAGAATCCGTAGCACGGTAAATTAAAATAACACGTAGATACAAATAGAGAATATTCTTTAATGAGAAGGATAACTAAAGTATTTTGACAGGAAGAAACACTAAAGATACTAATAAAGGTAGTACCAATACAGATGATATGTTAAGTAATGATCTAACCTCCAGAAAAAAGATAAGGTGTTCCTCCACAGAAAGGTCTCGAATTAGGAACTCGCTACGATGACAGTAGCCGGCCATGTATGGCTGGTCCATGCAGTTGTTGCCTGGCTTCAGCACTTGGCCGAGAACGTTAATCGAGCCTTTGTCGGCAAATGTTAAGCCTAAAAGTTAAAATCACTTTTTATGCAAATAATAATTTTATATATAAAAAAATAGATTTAGCTGCCAGGTTTTTTTAGTAGAAATATTATAGATAATGACTATTGATGTGTTATTCACAAAAATTACCAGAAAGCAAGTCTTCTATGGTGATTATCATCTTCCGGTGAATCCGGTTCGCGAATATCATTGTAAACTCGCCACGATATATGTCAAATGTTACATCGCTTAGAACAAGTGTGCCCATGATACTCTAAAAATATACAATTATTTTATAAACCAAGAAAAAATATTTAAACCATCGGATTCAAATTAGGGTAGTTAACACTGTTATCAATTATCAATTATAATACATACTTACATAATTTTGAAGGCCTGTCAAAACGACAATTTCTATAGAAGTTGTATGGGAATACCATTTACTTCCTATAGAGGCTTATAATACACACACAAACACACACACACACACACACACACACACACACACATACACACGCGCGCGCACGCACGTACGTACGCACGTACGCACACACGCTAGTTGGTACGAGTCCGACATAACTCGTCCTTGCCCCCGCGAAGTGGGTATGCGTAGACATACCCCATTAAAAAAGGTAAATCAAACTTAGACTCGGCTACGATGCGTTCAGGAGATAATGAGACATCTATTCGTCAAGTTTTCTGCAAAACTTGTACACTCTTGTACACTGTGTGGCCAGTGACTACGTATGGATCTGAGACCCCGTCTCTCGTTTACTGCTGACTGTATGAAGAAGCTTAAGTTCGCTCAGCGAACTATAAAGAGGACTATGCGTCTAGTTTCACTACCTTATAAACTTCGTGATGATGCTAATACCAGAGTAACCCACATAGCCGAACAGATCAGTGGCAATAGGTCGGCTATATAGTTCGAAGAATAGACAACCGATGGTAAAGAAGTTCTCAAGTGGCAGCCTCGTACCGGCAAGTGGAGTGTAGGGCGACTTCTCATTAGATAGAGTGACAACTTGGTAAGAGTTACGAAAGGCGTTGGATTGAGATGGCTTAGGGCTGTATTTCCTTGAGACAGCTCTATATTCAATAGTGGACTTGTGAAGGGCTGCAATGATGATACTGAATTTATGCCTATAATAATACAAAAGTAGGATAAAACAATACCTTCGAAACATTCCTAAAACTAACAGCTTTAGCAACAAGCTCATCTACTTCTTGTAGTTTATCTTTGTCCGCTGCTGTATGTGATTCTATACGATGCAATTTATTGACGTCCTTAAAAATGATTAAAAGTTCATGTTCATTACTCTTTGAAAAAAAAATAACTTCTGAGATCTCTAATTTTGATTGAGTTTCAATAGAAATATAATATTAGATTAGAATTCAATAGAATCTCTCGTAATGTCGGCATATTCGAATGATTAAACTACTGTCACTAATTTGTCCGTCGCCAGAACCATTTTTCTACCGACGTGAAAAAAAGAAACGGTATTCAATTCGACTGTATGTTTTTTTAAATAGAATAAGGATGACAAACGAGCACACAGTCCACTTGATGGTAAGTGGTTGCTGCGGCCCACAGACATTTATATCTATCCTCGTTTGCGAATCAAAATGCAGATGCGTTGTCACCCGTGAGGACTAAGATGGAATGCCTCTTTTCCAGTAAAAAGGGTCTACAGTTCTCTACACTCACCATACGAAACACACCAGTGTTAAGCTGCTATTTTACGCTGGTATTCTGTGAGAGCGTGGTCCTTCCCCGGTCGAGCCGACCCATTCGTGCTACAACTATACTACTAATATAGCTGCAGCATGGCTCTACCACTCTATATTGGTATGTTTATATAGGGTCTATTTCACCCAAAAGTTAAAATTCTAAGTTATATTCATCACAAAAAATAGCTAATATATACCTCGCCCTTTTTGAAGAGAATAGACTTCCACGACTTTTGACCTCCTATTGCCCTTTCATTTCCGATAGTCCTTTGCAAGAGCATAAGTATTGCAAAATAAAAAGCAATCATTAACAACCACGACAATAAGGGATATATTAAGGAGTTATTATTGTCCGCTGCTTCTGAAAAATTTATTTAAAGCAATTTTAATTAATGCAGGGACATAAATAGTAATATATATATATATATATATATATATATAGTTGTAGCCCAGATGGTTATCACTCGCTGGAAGTTTCACAGTTCAATCCTCGCCGGCACCAATGAAATTGTTAATTGCAATTTTAAGTGCTGATTTACCACGTGCTCGGCGGTGAATGAAAACATCGTGAGAAAACCTGCATGTCTAAGAAATAAAAAAAATCGAAGACATGTAAAGTTCGCCAACACGCATTAGGGCAGCGCGGCGGATATTTCCTTGCCCCAAAACCCTCTCAGAAATGAGGGAAGGCCTGTGCCCAGCAGTGGGACATATATAGGCTGTAACTTTAACTTTAACTTTATAAATATTGTATATTAACCCATTGAATGTAAGAGTTTACAATTAGACAATCGTTAGGTGCCGTTATAAAAACGGTAGAAGGCCGGTAGACGACGTTATGTTACTTATCTGGTCTGGTATCTTCGACTAAAATCACTACTTGTACACACACCGTTTTTCACTTGAGGTGTCACAACCCTTGTATAGGCATTTAAAAGTATAGTCCAATGCTCACCAGCTTCCTTTAAATTTACGCAGAAGTCTTACGTAATATCACGTAGTCGGCACACGGTATATCTGTCTACGTATTATTACGTATTGACTGTCTCGTTAGTTTATTAGTCGTAAGAGGATAATCATGAGATCCTAGGTACAGTGGTAGAGCCACGCGGCAGCTTTTGCTGTCGCACGGATGGGCCGGCTCGAACCGGGGTGGTCACAGAATACCAGCGTGAAGTAGAGGTTTACCTCTGCGTTTCGCTTGGTGAATGCAGGTGGCCGGAGGCCCTTTTTACTGGAAATGAGGCATTCCATCTTAGTCCTCACGGGTGGCAACGCATCTGCATTTTGATTCGCAAACGAGGATAGATGTAAGATGTCTATGGGCGCAGCAACCACTTACCATCAGGTGGACTGTGTGCTCGTTTGTCACCCTTATCCTATAAAAAAAAGGTCGGGTTGGAATCTCAGTTGCACCTAAATCAGTTACTGAGTTTTATCCCGCAGTCAAAAAGTTGGCGGTGTTTCACCCCCATGCATTGAAAAGCACGTAATGCCGTTGGTCCTGCGCCTGATCTCTCTCCAGTCACACTAAGGGAATAAATAGAGAGTGAACTTCTGCATGTGCACACAACTCGTGCATTATAAACCTGTCTTACACAGATGGCTAGTTTTACTTCAGACTGGTCGTCCATAGTAGTAGTAGTAGTCCAAAGTTAGCACTCAATGGGCTTAAAAAGTGATAGTGAAACTTACGACCAGTTTGCAACAAAGCAAACTCATTAAAAGCATGCACGAGTCCCAAGGGAGGCAAGACAATCTGCAACGCAAACGTCAGTGCTCTATTTTCTATATCAAACCGATGGTGCACCATTAGCTCCGACAAAAACGTCTGCATTAGCGTGAACAGCATTGTCCAAGCGCAAGCGACCCACGCTGAAATTGAATATGTAAATGTTTATATCTAAGTTACAAAAAATAATACAGAAAAACTTGGTTAAGTGGGACCTGGATAAGTGAGAAACCTCCATAGCTGGAACTCATGCTTAAGTCCCGACACTTTAGCACTGAATTACTTCTGTTAGTGGGACAAAACAAACCTCTATATCTGGGATTAGTTCTTTCGATTTTATCGTCATAATTACCTCTATAATTGAAACAGCGAGTGTATTTTACCTCTTTTACTGAGACTATATTTTGTGTACCGTTTTGTTTACTAATTCTTATTCTACCCGCAAATTCCCTATGCTACAAAAAATTCCCAAAATTCCAAAAACTCACTTGGCTAATTGTGTAAAAGTGACCTTCAGTTTTAGTTTGGTTTTGCTGATGTTTATGTATTATGTTTACAAAATACGGTATTTTATTTAATAATCGCACATATACATATAACTGAAATAACCTCTATTCTCACCTCTATTAATGGAACCCTCTGTAAATGAGACAGATATTTATTTACACCTGGATATCTGAGACACTGGTTAAGTGGAATACCTCTTTAAGTGAGACCAATTTGCAGGTCCCTTGAGGTCCCAGTTATCCAGGTTTCACTGTATTTGTTTGTTCGTATTTTATGCGCTGCCATACCGTTCATGAGATTGCGTTAAAACTTTGTAAAATTAACGGTGGTAGAGCCCCGCAGCAGTTTTTTGCTGTTGCACGTATGGGCAGGCTCGAGCCGGGTTGGTACCACGACCTCACAGAATACCGGCGTGAAGTAGAGGCTCTGCTTCTGCGTTTCGTCTGGTGAGTGCAGGTGGCCGGAGGCCCAATCCCCCCCCCCCCCCCATCAACATGGTAGCGGAATTACAAAGTAGACTACCCCAGGAGGGTACCAGTACCCCTGGAGAATCCCTCGCTGAGCATCCACGACCATGTTATTCCAATCCTGAGCGTGGGTGCTCAGGCTGCCCCGCGTATTCTGGGGGGGGCAAAATTCCGCTCAAAAACAAAACTGCTTGGGGCAAACTGAGCAACAATACCAAGGCGACCCCTGCCACGCTATCCGTGAATTTCTGCAACATCAGGGGACTTCACTCTAACCTAAACGCCGTCCACTACCATCTCGAGACGGCGAAGCCGGCCTTGTTCTTTCTGACCGAGACGCAGGTTTCCTCTCCGGCTGATATTTCGTATCTCTCCTGCCCGGGGTACAAATTGGAGCACTCCTTTGTGCCTCGGGCTGGAGTTTGCGTGTATGTCAGAGAGGACATCTGTTCTCGACGCCTCGGCAGTCTTGAAGGTTCGGACCTGTCCATCCTTTGGCTACGCGTAGACAGCGACGACCATCCGCGCGTCTACGGGTGCCTCTATAGGTCCCATAGCGGTAATGCCGAAACAGACCGACTCATCGACCACGTCCAAATGGCTACAGATTCCTTGCTACAACAGGTCCCATCCGCAGAGATCGTGATCCTTGGCGATTTTAACGCCCACCATGCAGAATGGCTCGGTTCACGTTTAACCGATCATGCGGGGAGATCTGTTTATGACTTTGCTTTGGCATATGGTCTGACACAACTGGTTACTTCGCCTACGCGGATTCCGGATGTGGAGGATCATACACCTTCCCTGTTGGACCTTCTGCTGACCTCTCATCCGGACGGATATCAGGTTTCCGTCGATGCCCCTCTCGGCTCTTCGGACCATTGTCTGATCCGGAGTATGGTGCCACTCACGCTCCCTTCGCGGTTGCGTTCTGCAGGTTGCCGCCGTGTTTGGCATTACAGGTCGGCAGATTGGGACGGAATGCGGTCTTTCTTTGCATCCTACCCATGGGGGCGGGTTTGCTTCTCGCCGGATGATCCCAGCGCTGTTGCTGACTCTGTCACTGATGTGGTGCTACAGGGAATGGAACTATTTATTCCATCATCTGTGGTACCCATCGGAGGCAGATCTCAGCCTTGGTTTGGTCGCTCCTGTAAGACTGCATTGCGCAGAAAGCAGGAGTGTTATCAAGCCTGGGCTGCGGCTTCGGTGACTCGGGATGTAAACACCAGCACACTTAAAAAGAAGTATAACTTCGCCTCCAGGTCCTTCAAAAGAGTTATTGCCAAGGCAAAGTCAGAGCACATAGGCAGAATTGGCGAGAAACTAGTTCGCCTTCCTTCGGGAACCCGTGCATTCTGGTCTCTCGCCAAGGCTGTCCAAGGGAATTTCTGTAAGCCATCACTACCATCTCTGCACAGGGAGGACGACTCACTGGCCCACGACGCAAAAGAGAAGGCCGACCTTTTAGGCTCCCTTTTTGCGTCCAACTCGACTGTTGATGACGGGGGGAACACACCGCCGACCATCCCGCGGTGTGAGTGCTCTATGCCGGATGTGCTATTCTCACAGCGCTTGGTTCGCAGAGCACTCCTCTCCCTTGACATCCACAAGTCGAGTGGGCCTGACGGAAACCCCCCAATTGTGCTGAGGACGTGTGCTCCGGAGTTGGCACCGGTTCTAACGCGTCTTTTCCGGTACTCCTACTCCCATGGCGTTGTCCCGAACTCATGGAAGACAGCTTTTGTCCACCCGATCCCTAAAAAAGGCGACCGCTCAGACCCGTCCAACTATAGGCCTATCGCGATCACCTCCTTGTTCTCCAAAATAATGGAATCCATTATTAACTGCCAGCTCATCCGGTACCTTGAGGATCACCAGCTGATCAGTGACCGAACAGTTCTTTCGAAGCTCCCTTCCTATGGGCTTCCCGAGAAACTGTGCAATTGGATCACCAGCTTCCTTGCAGATCGGAGCATCAAGGTCGTTGTAGACGGTGCATGTTCTGACTACAAGCCTATTAACGCTGGTGTTCCACAAGGCTGTGTGCTATCACCAACGCTGTTTCTTCTGCATATCAATGATATGTTGCTAACTGGTAACATTCATTGCTATGCGGATGACAGCACTGGTGATGCTCTATACACCGGCCGGGCCAATATTTCTCGGGAAAACGTCGCCGAGTACCGGAACAAACTTGTGTCTGAAGTCGAGTCTTTGCTGGACAAAGTCTCGGATTGGGGGCGACTAAATCTAGTCCAGTTTAATCCTCAGAAGACACAAGTTTGCGCGTTTACCGCTAAAAAGAACCCCTTTGTCGTATCTCCTCAGTTTCAAGGCACTCCCCTTCTTGCCTCAGCCAGTATCGGTATCCTCGGAGTCGACATATCGAGTGACGTGCAGTTTCGTGGTCACTTGGAAGAGAAGGCCAAATTGGCCTCTAAAAAGCTTGGCGTGCTCAGCAGAGCGGGACAGTATTTCATGCCGGCACACCGCCTGCAACTTTACAAGGCGCAGGTTCGGCCTCACATGGAATACTGTTCCCATCTCTGGGCAGGGGCTCCCCAGTGCCAGCTCCTTCCACTTGACCGCATCCAGCGCAGAGCGGCTCGAATCGTCGACGACCGAGCCCTTTCCGATCGGCTCGATTCATTGGCACTGCGAAGAGATGTTGCATCTCTTTGCATTTTCTTTCGCATCTACCATGGGGAGTGCTCTGAGGAATTGTTCGGATTAATCCCAGCCGCCAAATTTCATGAACGCACATCGCGGCAGAACTCCCGATACCATCCACACCATCTGGATGATTGGCGTTCCACCACTGTGCGATTTAGAAGATGTTTTCTTCCTCGCACGACTTCCTTGTGGAATCGATTACCATCAGCGATTTTTCCGGACCGATACGACTTAGGGACCTTCAAGAAAAGAGCCTACTCCTTTTTAAAAGGCCGGCAACGCATCTGCAATTCCCCTGGTGTTGCGGTTGTTCATGGGCGGCGGTAGTCACTTACCATCAGGTGAGCCGCATGCTCGTTTGCCCCCTCTCCTATAAAAAAAAAAAAAAAAAAAATTACAGTAGATGGCGAGTGACAAATTTATTTGACAGTTATACATCATTCAATTTCAATAAATCATTTCTAATAAAACTATATAACTCTTCCAAATTTAAAACCACATTTCTACAATTATTTTTACTTCGGCAGCATTTACGTGGTCGAGCCATGCTGCAGCTATATTAGTAGTATAGTTGTAGCACGAATGGGTCGGCTCGACCAGGGAAGGACCACGCTCTCACAGAATACCAGCGTAAAATAGCAGCTTAACGCTGCTGTGTTTCGTATGGTGAGTGTAGAGAACCGGAGACCCTTTTTACTGGAAAAGAGGCATTCCATCTTAGTCCTCAAGGGTGACAACGCATCTGCATTTTGATTTGCAAACGAGAATAGATGTAGATGTCTATGGGCCACAGCAACCACTTACCATCAGGTGGACTGTGTGCTCGTTTGTCACCCTATCCTATAAAAAAAAAGCAACGCGCCGGGTACCAGCTACTTTTGTATAATTTGTACAAAAAGTATCCTGTAACATCCCGTGGGTGTCCTAAGAGGCGACAGAGGGAAATTGAAATAGAAGATGGCAATCCTTCTAGGCTTATGTTCAGCAGTGGACTTCTGATCAGCTGTTAAGATAAGGTAAGGTACAAAAGGCACCGCTTACAGACATTCTACTACACAGGGCAATGGCCTGCCCTCATTTCTGAGAGTGTAAGCTAGCAATTAGTACACCGCTCTGGCTACTGCTGACGGATTTCACATAACTTCGAAATATTTTTATTTCTCAGACATCTCAGAGGTATCCTCGCGATGTTTGCCTGTACTGTCGTGTACGGTCGGTAAATTAGCACTTAAATGGTACCGACGCGAGGTTCATCCTAATTTTACGTTGTAAAGCCAGGCTGCAGCACGAATGGGTCGGCTCGATTGGGACAGGACAATACACTTACAAAACAATAGCTTACTAACTAACCATTACTCAATAAAAAGAGAATTCCTCTGAAAGTTTTAATATTTAAAATTTATTGTGTTTAGACTATTGATCCAAACGGGTCAGTGAGTTCAGATTACTACGTTGGCAATTATCGCCTGAAGTTTTTTAATTGCAATATTGATTCACACAAAAACTAAGTAAACTCATTAGGCGAGTAAGCGCTGCCAGCGCTTAAGGCACAATACCGTAACGTATAGGGCTACATCCACTACAATTAGATATCCTATTTATTATTTGTTTATATGATGTTTCTATATCTTAGCCTATTACTATTGTATGTATAGTAAATAATGCGGCATTTAAAATAGTAAAAAACCGAGGTACAATGAGGCATTACATCTTAGTCCTCAGGGGTGAGAAGCATCTGCATTTTGATTCTTTATTGAGGATAAGTGTAAATGTTTATGGGCCACAATATCGACTTACCATCAGGTGGACTGTATCCTCGTTTTTCACCCTAATTCTATTAAAAATATCTACAAAATAAACTTAGGATACAATTTATGCTACGGAATTTTTATAGATAGTTATAAATGAACAACAACTATAAAATATTATTTTGTGTGAAGAAAAAAGTTTTCTCCTAAATAACAATAATGGTCAATAACAACTTTATCCTCTTACGTCTTCTCTGTATTCCACATTTACCTACCTTTATTGTGATACATCGCCATGATCAAAGCCAGCATAATCACAACGGTTTTGTAGGCGAGGATGGTGATAAGAGCGAACAGAAGATGAATCCAGCGGAAAATGAGGATGAGAGTGATGCCAGCCAGGAGGCAGATGGGCAGCGCCGTGAAGTACGCGTACATTATCCACCCAACGTAGATGGAGGTGTATGATACGTTGCGGACACGCAGGGCGCGCTGTAATCGTTTGCATTTTTTAAAATTAAAACTTTGAAAATAAACATCGTTTCTTGGCATATCATATGCCAATATGAAGCGTCAGAGGGAATCTAAAACAGGAGATGGGTGGCAGAATCTTCCCAAAACCAGTTCAAAGTGGTAGAAAAAAACTGCAGCTGCCAACTGATTGACTTGCTAGTCATCTCAATAGTTATCGACGAGCCTGACTTGCTAGTCACCTTATTCTACATTTAAAAAAAAAACACTTAGATGCCTTGTTTCCAGTGAAAAGTGTCTCCGGTTCTCTTTTCTTTTTTTGTTTTAGGGCGTATCAAAAATTGTTCCGGGTCTGGGTGTTTGTTAATCCGAGGTTAATACATTATTTTAGGCGAATTTTAACATCGTGATTACAGACGTGAAATACTGTCTGTCGATGAGCAGTAGTGTCAAAGGTGCGAGATATCTGGTAGTGTGATTATCAACCTGCCAAGGTCATCCTGCTTGCAACAACCCATGTCCAGAAGTAGATTTTTAACAAGCAACGTTGGTTAATTTATATTTGATCTAATATTACCTTAAAAAGAGTGACAGATTCATTGACGACTAGCGCTTCAATTTCGAGCACAGGCGGTAAGAGAGCTAGCGTGAAGCACAGGAGGATTCCAGCTAGAGATTGTTTTACGGTCTTCTGTTGCATCAGCGGTGACACCGGCATCGACACTAAGCTTATCTAAAAAAAGAAAAAACGGGTGATTTCTGAATCTCGACAACAGCGCCAACTACCGGATCTAATTGTCTAACCATCGAGGGACCCACTCAAGCGCACATAAATAATTTCAAAAAAATCGTTCGAGCCGTTTTCGAGTTTTAGCGAGACTAACGGACTGCAATTGATTTTTACCGGTATATACAGAGATATAAGATATATATTGTACTATATTGTACAGAGGAGGCAGTTTCTATTACCGAGTAATCACTGCAAAATCCACTTACCATCAGGTGAGTGTTAGCTTCAGTTTTATAAAAAGAGCTAAAGTGGCATTTAATCGAGTATCCAGCTCGTAAAATCACTTGTTACGACTCAACGAGCGCACCCGCGATTTGTTCTGCCACCAGGGCGGCGCCACTTAAAAGTAAGGTATAATATTTGACATATTTCGTAGCGGGGAAGTTAATTTGTTCGAATAATGTCAAATTTAATGTTTCTTTCTGTATATGTCTATTAGCTATATTTTATATTATTAAGATTAAAAATAAATAATTAAAACCACAGATATTCATGAAAGTAGGAAAACTAAAAAAAATTAAAGATTAAACCGCTGAGGAATTGTTTTGTGTATTAATATAATCCTCTAGAAATTGATTACTGAAACTTTTATTAAAAACTAACTACTCAATAGAATGACAATGTGTAACAAAAAACTTTATCTGGGTGTCAACTAGCGACATCTGGTGGTCGGAATATTATTAGCCCTGTTAATTTTATTTGTGATTTATGCCTATAGTATTTGAATTTAATCAATACTTATAATATTTTCTAACGTTTTTTAAATTTAATTAATGATAATTATTATTAAAACTATATTAAATGTTATTAACAATTTTGTCTGCTTATTTACTACCTACGTGTTCGGTGGTGAAGGAAAACGTAAGCAAAGCTGCATGTTTAAGAAATTAATGTCATTTATTGGGGCCATTTCATGGACACTAATTTGCTTCGAAATTTTCTCTTAAAAATAAGAGGGACTTGAACTTGACCCAGCAGTGAGACTTATAATATACGAATACTATTATTAACTTTAAATACATAATACAAAATACTCGAAACACATGACACGAATTTTGAATAACTTTACCACAGCCGAAATAGCTCAGTTGGGAGAGCGTTAGACTGAAGATCTAAAGGTCCCCGGTTCAATCCCGGGTTTCGGCAGATTCTTTTGTTTTTTTATTATTTTTTAATGTTTTATTTTTTTATTATTTACTTTCAGTGATTTAATTTTTTTATAGAATATAGATTTTCCTTAGTGGACATGATAATATTATGTAAATAAATGCTTTTCGGTTGTTGTAATTAATAGACTTAACATTAATATAATATACTTGGCGGTTTTATATTGACTCCATTAATTACGTGAGGTGTTTTGGGTCGAGCCGAATTCCACCCGATCTTATTTGAGGAAGAGGGAATGTCTCGGCAAATATCAAGTATTTTTTTGTAAAAACGTGTCACGTGTAAAATTACGAAAAAATTGGGTTAAATTAAGTAAAATGTAGCTCAATCCTACACATTAATATTTATTGCCGTTATGCGAACTCAACAAAATTATATAAAACTAGCTGTGTGCCGCGACTTTGCCCGCGTGTAATTGAGGGTTTTAATTATATTGCAAAGAACCCTAATTCTTTTCTAAAATAAAAGTAGCCTAAGTTACTTCTTATGAAATCAGCTACCTGCCAGTGAAAGTCCCGTCATCGATTTAGCCGTTTCGGAGATTAGCCGGAACAAACAGACAGACAGACAAAAATTTTAAAAATTGTGTTTTTGTTATAAGTACCGTATATACATTCATATGCATTGAGTAAAAAGCTGTTATTTTAACATTAAAAACAGGCACTTCAATTTTATATATTTGTGTAGATAATTAAGCAAATTATGTTTCTTTTTTTAAATAAACCCAACGCAATCAATCACAGACAGACGTATTAAGGGGTTGAGCCATATCTTAGTAGGGGGTGAGGAAGGTAGAAATTGCCAAAATCGCCTCTCGTATTTAATAGATGCCACCTTATATTATAGAATCTTTATGATGATAATATTATTTCTAATGATGATTGATGTCTGAAGAGCAACATTTTATTTTATATGATTTTAGTTTCTGGTTATTGTTAATAAAATATATTTTAATGTATTCAAGTCAGTATCATTTTAAATACCAAAAAGTTTTCAAGCTCTGTAACTACTTTTAATTTTTATTGAAAAAAATATTCTAGACATTACTAATAATTTTCTGCTCACTGAGGTAAAATTTTTGTTACATAATTTAATTGAGAAATTGGTTTTTAATAAAATGTATCAGTTTCTAGAGTATTATATTAATACAAAAAATGCGTCAGTGATTTACTATTTAAGTTTTTGCACATTTATATCTTTTTTTTTAAATTTTTCTCCTTTTATGAATATTTGTGGTTTGGTTTATTTATTTTTAATCTTATTAATATAAAACATACTTAATAGTATAGAAAGAATAATAACCTTTACATTTTTCGAACATATTAACTTCCCCGCTATGAAATCTGTCAAATATTATACCTCACTTTCTAGTGGCGCCGCACTGGTGGCAGAAAAACTCGTGGATGCCCTCATTCTAATAATATTTTATTACATTGAACTACATATCTCAATCGTTATCATATAGTACATAGCATAATAATAATATAACATAGGATATTTAAAATTATCTTTTCTTACGTGTGGTACGTATTATTATTAGAACATTTATAGGTATATGATATTCATTCGCATAATATTATGTAATTTAGTTATTTTTTTATTCGTGACAACAATAATTAATAAAATGTATACAGTGAAAAACACTTAAGTAATATAATCAATACGATATTATACATACAAGCATATGAATATTGTTCTAACTGGCTAATATCTCCTTTAATCTTGAGTTAGGTTTTTTTTTTATAGAATAAGGGTAACAAATAAGCACACAGTCCACCTGATGGTAAGTGGTTGCTGTGACCCATAGACATCTACATTTTATCCTCAATAAAGAATCCAAATGCAGATGCGTCGGTACCCGTGAGGACTAAGATGGAATGCCTCTTTTCCAGTAAAAAAGGTCTACGGTTCTCTACACCCACCATACGAAACACAGCAGTATTAAGCTGCTATTTTAGGCTAGTATTCTGTGAGAGCGTGGTCCTTCCCCGGTCGAGCCGACCCATTCGTGCAACAACTATACTATTAATATAGCTGCAACATGGCTATACCATGTACAAAAGGTACTATTTTGTTTTCTTCTACACAAGTAAAACATTTTCTAGATAAGTTGGAACGTACGAAGTAAGTCATCTTAATCATATTTATAAATGAAAAATGAAAATAATAAAAGACTCTTGATCCCGGAAGCAAACCCTATTCAACTGGGTATATTTCGTTTTACCTCCGATTCTATTAAAAATTATCATTTATAAACAATGGGAGATACTACGCTGGACAGGAATTACAAGCTTTAATTTCTCCCTCTCCTTTCCACCATCGGACAACCAGGCGGTCAGCGGGTCTTCACCCCTTTGTTGTCGATATTCCACGCATTAGAACCAAACGGTTTGCTTCGTCTTTTGTAATGCGTACAGCAAAGGAGTGGAATAATTTGCAGGCGTCAATCTTTCCGTCCGAATACGATCTGGGCGTCTTCAGGGCAAGAGTGAATAGGCTTTTGTTACGCTAAGTTATTGCGATTTACCATCTAAGGCTGCATCAACATTTACCACCAGGTGGGATTGTGGTCAAGCACTAGCTTATAATAAGTAAAAAAAAAAACAGACCCATTTGTAGTTTAGACTATAGACTATTAATCAATATCTGTTGCAATTACAGACTAATGAAGAAAAAGTGGAAGATTACATTAAAATTAGGCGGCGTGGTGGAAACATGCTCCAGGATTGCCTGACTGACAGCCATCTGCACACCAAGGAAGCCGGCGCGAAGGTGCGGGCTTGGAGAGCCGTTGTCTGACTTGATGGCCAGCCGCGCTCGTTCTGTACTTCTTATGCTGAATTGCCAGGTATTTGCTTTCTGTTAAAATAACAATTTATTATCCTAGTGGCTAAGCGGTTTCATTTAACTTTTCTGTGTTGTATAAGTGAATATAAAAAAATAAAAGTTAACTGTGAGTCTAATATGCAAAGGCTATGGGGCGAGGAAACGAGTACTCGGAAACACCAGCATTCCTCACTTCAGCGGCGGTATCTCTGTCTTGGCGGAAAATCTGGTATATAGATTTTAAATAAACAAAGCTTAAAATATAACCAGTAATATTTTGACCGTATTAGTGGCGGTGTAATATCCATCCATACCATCTTCTTTTTGTCCTTCTAAGAAGTAAAATAAAAACTGTAGTTGTTAACTCGCGCGCCGAGTATGGCAACTATAATAATTATCCTCCCTATGGGGCAACCTATGGAGGAGGCTTATGTTCAGCGGTGGATTTTCGATAGGACGGTAACGGACAATTTTTAAATCGAATAAGTCCACGTTATTAATATAGACGTGATAACTTTTCTCCAAAAGCTAGCCAAACCTATTTATATCACACATGCAGAAGAGGGCCATATTAGCAATCTATGATTTGAAATCTAAATATCTTAGCGACGAAGAAAATAAGGAAATTAATATAATTAACTTTGGCCTCCCGATATATTTACTAAAATGTGATGTAAGTACATAAAAAATAAGCAGTTTTAAAAAAGTAATTTCATAATCATCGAATGACGGCTCCGTGGCGCTGTGGCTTAGCAATGTGAGTTGCAGCGCTGTGGGCTGTGGGTTCGAATCCCGCGCGGAACACGTGTTTGTATGGACTACAAATAATTGTTTCGGGTCTGGATGTTTGTCCATGTGTAATTTGTTTGTAAACTGCTTTCACGATACAGGAAATAATTTTAGTGTGGGGGTGGGGGTAGCGTTTTTTTTTAAAAAATAAAGAAAGAAGAATGGAACCTTTTTTCCCCATCGGTTTTCGGTTTTTAGAGTTATATGGCCGGCCCATAACCACTTCAGCTTACTAATCCGTTGGGCTATGTCGGGTCACTCTGGTTCTACTGCGGATATCCCCATTTCTAAGTATATCACGCAGAGAAACTCCCAGCATAGTCCTCTCCATAGCTCGCTGAGCTACCTTGAGCTTCCTCATCCGGCCAGCAGTGAAGGACCACGTTTCTGTTCCATAAGTCATCACTGGCAACACGCACTGGTTGTACAGTCTCGTTTTCAAGTTTACGAGAAGATATGCACTAACTTCCCGAAAGCTACCCAGCCGAGTTGAATCCGTCGATTGACCTTTCGGTCGAAGTTGGATTTACCTAGTCGGACAATAAACTTAAAGAAAAAGGAAAACATATACCCTTTTTTTACTCTTCCGTAAGAGGATAAAAATAGCTTGAATGCTATACACGGTCATTTACTGCCTACATACAAAATTTCATGGAATTTCGTATGTGTTTATATGTATTGATATTGTGTATAGATATAGACGTATTATGATAATAATAAGAACAGAAACATGCTAGTAAGACCAGATATCCGACTCCGCAACGTCAGTAATTCATTGATCACTGCTTTATTGGGCTAGTGGTCATAAGCGCGACTACTGAACATGTGATTCTGCGTTGAAATTCTGGGTCGGGCCTAAGTCAGTTATTGAGTTTTACTGTCAAAAATTGTCATTAGCACCCGGAGTCAGGAAGTTGGCGGTGTCTCACCCCCGTGCCTCGGAAAGCATGTAAAGCCGTTGGGCCTGCGCCTGGTCTCTCTCCGATCTTGTTGGATTGCCGTCCAATCAGACCAAGGAATATATATTCCTACTACTTACTCTCCATAAGAGTGAGGGAATAGAGAGTGCACGAAACTCATGCACTCGGGCTCTAAAATCTAGTTCTGCGCCGATTGATAGCCTCTGTTAAAACTGGCTGCCGTTAAAATGAGGCCTGGAGTAAACTATTAATTAGTTCTCGGGGGAGAAAAAACAGTTTATCTCGAGTCAAGTTATACCTACATATGATGACTCTGTTGATTGAAGGGACAAGGCTCTTACGATCAGGTGATTGCGGAAAATCTATACATATAATAAAACTGTAAATAGCAGATGTCTGTACATTTAATATTTTTGTAATAAAAGTGATTAAGGGGTACTAAAAATAAGTAATTAAATACATTTCTACCATTTTTAGAATTTTCTGTCTGTCTGTCTGTCTGTCTGTCTGTTTGTTTGTTAACGTATCACGTATAAAGTACTAATTTATATCATAAGAATTGTTAAGGAAATTATAAAGTGTATCTTCGGGTTACATTTAGTCTTTATTTCATTAAAATCAGTTCATTCCATCAAAAGTTATGATAAATATTCTGAAGTATGGGTAGGGAAGTATAGGTACGAATTGCTCAACGGTGGCTTTGTTTGAGTCATCAAGTGCATTTTAAACTAATATCATATCATAAATCATAGTTAAATTATGTAAAATAATGATATAATTATGTATATCTAAAACGCAGTAAACAAAAGTAATAAAGAACGTATTAAATATATTATACAAAAATATATTAACGTTATTAACTAAATCTGAAGCACAATAGTTAACCCATTTCTTCGATAGATGGTGGTGTTGTGAAAATGCAATGCAATGTTTTATTAAAATTGGTTAATTCTATCGAAAGTAATGATTATTATTTTGAAATGTAGGTTCGAATTTGTTCAATGGCGCCATAAAATCTCAGAAATAGTAATAAAAAGATTTCTGTGTAAAAAAAACGTTCCATAATAATTAATATATTTATACTTAAAACACAAAAAGAGATTTAAAAAGGATGTTTTCTCACACAAAGGACGTAATAGATGGAGTTGTACAAATTACAAACTTTTCTGAATTGCTGTGTTGAGATTTTTCGCCGATGTATCGTATCGTAGATGACGCCTTGACACATATGAGTATTGGTATTGTATAGTTTGTATTATGTAGTATATTGTAATTTGTATTGTATAGCCAATATTATTTATGTTTTCTTTTTTATGTTATCTGTGATGGTGTCATTTTGGAGAATAAACCTTTCTTTCTTTCTTTCTTTCTTTCTATTGAGACTTACTGAAGAAATTTGTATCCATCGAAGCCATACAACGGAACCCGACCAAAAATAAAAATTTCGCAACGAAATGTCGTGATATTGTATTTATAATATACGCAAAATCAGAACTGCCAATTTAACCGGTTGGGAACTAGATTTAGCACTTTTTTGGAATGTATAGCGCGCATTTCGAAATTTTAGCATCTAGCGCTTAATCCAGCGCTTTTTGGTGTATTTAGCACACATTTCAATATTTTAGCGACTAGCGGGTTATTAACTCTTTTATAGCAGCACTTAGTCCACATTACCGATAATAATAATAATGACCTTTATTATTTTTTCCCACAAATAGTACATTGCAGTTTATCTTTTTCAAACATATTTTTTCCACAAAGCAAAGAGCATGGGAGACGAGTCCAAACTAGGATACCCTGTGCTATGGATCTCCTGGCTTCCCCTTTAGGATGATCAACTTGATTTTTTTACCGACGACTATAAGCGGGGAAATCCCCTTTATTAAAGTTTTCGTTCATGGTTTTGGCAACGCATTTATTTTGCTTTATTCAGTTTCAGTCAGTTGCTTAGAGCACAGCTAAGTTAAAAGTTACTTAGAAGTTATAACACAAAGAAACTGTGTAGCAACCGCAATCAGATGCTGACATCTGAAACTAAGTTGCGAAATACATTGCACTTTAAAACAATTAATGACATTTTTATTGTTCGTACAGTACTAACTACTGTTGACAGCAATTGCTATAATTATAAGTCGATGTCCTGCGAAGTATTGATACATCAAAAAAATATTGCCAGAAAAAAAACTTAATGTTGTTTTCTTTATTATGATTATATAAAAATACACAAACTTTGTTTGTAGTTAATTTAGCGCGAAATCTAGGGCTTTTTTAAAGCGCTGTTTTCATGAAATCTAGCGCTTTTTGTGTTGTCCTAAAGCTGAATGAGTTTTTTTTATCTGGCAGCACTGCCCAAAAACCCTCTATTAAGAAGTAACTTTCCTTTCAGTTTTAAGCGCGTTCAGTTCCCAGTTACAGTGAGTTTATGTTATGCGATGACCGTAAATAAAGCGCAAGGTCAAACTTTACGCGTTGTAGGAGTGTACCTCAGTACTGACTGTTTTGCACATGGCCAACTCTATGTTGCTTTTTCCCGCGTTAGTAGCCCCCATAACCTTTTTGTGTACACCCCGGCTAAGCCTACTTCTAACGTCGTTTACACAGAAGCTCTATCATAAACGACTTAGAACTTTGATGATAATGATTTATTTAGTTACCACTTATTGATACAGTAATGAAATAAATCGTTTAATATTCTCTTACCTAAACGACAAATTCTTTATGTAAAACCTGTATACGCGAGCTACGCCGCGGGCACAGCTAGTCCTTAATAAAATGCTAAATACGGACTGTTGATGTTTAGTCCCCAACAGTAAAAATATTTACAAAAATCAATTTAAAATGTTGTTGAAATTTAATTTTAGAAACCTTTTCTTTCCACACGATCCATATAACAGAGTTGTTTGAGAGCGTGCCTCTGGAACGGCTGTACAGAATGTTGTTGAGATCATCTTCCGAATCGCCAGCTAGGAGTTCTGCAAAATGATATATTAAAAATTATATCCTTATAAGTTCAAAAAATTATTCCATTTCATTAACAAATTAAATAATTTGGTTCAAATGTGTGGTATTATATCGATTACAAAAATGGACACTTGCTGTTAGTCCAATGATGGAAGCTGAAGAGTCTTCTACCATTGAACAACCAGATACACAACAAGTATTTTTTTAAACTAGCAAATAAGAAAAGCATATATAGATAATATAGATGAAATATCGAACACGTTCTAGGCGTTATATTATATCTTATATTAATCGGAATCTGTCATATTGAAAATTGTTATTGTCGGTTTGGTTTGTAAATTAAAGTTTAAGTTACCAAAGGAAAGAGGTTTTCTTGCTGCAATATCGTAGTAAAATATATTTCATATTTAGGGCTAAAACGGACTAAGACCAGAGATAATGGTACTCGTAAAAGCCTCTAATATCCTCCGATAGATGGCGATACGTATGTATGTATGTATTAAATGTTTGTCTATACAGAAATAGATAGTTATAAAATTACTAGTAATAAATTTTACCGATGTTTAAGAGGTCAGCCGCTCTATTCATGATTTTATCGAAAGGAAAGCTCTTCGGTGCGTATCCAACGATGCTTCGGTGGTGAAGAGATCCTAGAAGATCACGCCCGGTGAGAGGCGGTTCCGGTTCAGCTCGGATTGGTGTAAGGAACACGGGCTTAGCGATAAACACGGCCAGTATAAAACATAGACCGGCAAATAAAGTCTCAAAAACTAGAATCTGCCATCTTCGTCTGAAAAAAATACAAGTTTATAATATATACTATTTCACAAAGTGTTCATCCATGTTTCGGTTAAGCGTGCCAGACAGAATAAAAATAAATAGTCCGAAAACTCAGAACGTCAGCTTTTCTCGGCTCCATATTCTAAACTTTTTTGTTGTATATAAAAAAAATGAAAACATGAAGTAATGTTAAATGTTGCTGACTTTGTGACAAGAGACGAGGAATGGGTTGATATTTTTTTTATTTTAGTGTGTCCGGTGTTGCACAAAACCAACCTGAAATATTCTTTGATGGCGATCAATTCAAAAAAATGTTGGCGATAGCAGAAATGTTGACAATAGCTGATATGAGTTTCCGGGTTCGAACACCGGGTCGAGTCAAAATTGGCAGCCCGTAGTAGAAATGTATTATAGTAAATAAAATATTAGTGTTTAGATCTTCTTGAGTTTATTTATAAAGTTTCTTACAATGGTTATTTTATATTATTATTTATTATCGCAAGCTACAATGTCCTGTCAGTTCAATTACAAGAGAGCGAGATAGCGACTGGCCAAAAAACGAGAAGGGTGATTATTCTGACATTGACAGGCTGCATTCTGATAAAGCTGCGTTCTCATACTACAGAAAGTTGGCTATGTTTCACCCCCGTGTCTCTGAAAATACGTTGATCTTGCGCTTTATGTCTCTCCGATCGTATCGAATAACTGTTCTATGTCCGATAGGAGAATAACTGTTCTATGTTCTATGAGAGTAAGCGGATACACTCGCGTATTTTAATCGTATTGTCTCGAACCGACCGAAATTCGATCTGGAGCACATATCATTGTATATACTGTATACCTATATCGATAGAGAAAATATCTTACAGCTTATTATCATTATTATATGTAAACACCACACCTAAACACAATTTGACGTGAAAGACAAATGTTACTTGGGCTCTCATAAAGCCGAGAGAAGTTTAATTTAATTTTAGTTTAAGTTTAGTTTTAATTTTAGCGCTTGAATCGCAAATTTTGCAACAAGTATGTGTATGATTTCCATTGACTTATACTGTGTATGAGTTCACTTTGTAGCGCTACTGTATTTCCAACGTAATTGTGTATGTCACAAGATATGGTTCAATAAGTCTTTACGTGGTGTAATTTTTATATTTCATGGAAAATAATTATATTCACTGCCACGCTTCGTATCCGCATTAATTTCAAATGACGTCTGTAAATCTAGACCTCGGACATTTTCATTCAACACTACGTGGGTAGGCGAAGGATCAAATGTTTTTAGAATTTATGTAACGTACTTACTGTCTTTGCAGATAAGATTTCCAAATAAGTATTTTTACGTGCCTTCTGAAACGGCTGTAAGTTCGTTTTTTATGCTCCTCTGTCATCGTGATATTAGCGTGATATTCGCCACGCGGTAATTAACGACTGTTCATGACGTTATTTTAAAGACATGTGATAGCCTAATGTCAAAAAGTCTTTTTTTCTTTTCACATTCTACAAAAAGGATAAAATCATATCGTCCGAAAATGCCGCCCTTTGTGCTGCCCGTACTCGCAAGTGCAGTAAAAAGGGATAAGAATTTTTTTATATCAAATAAAAGTGTAGATGAATATTATGAAAAAAAAAATTAAACATAAAATAATTAAATACATGTTATATTATAAAAACAACTTAAGGATTCAGAACGAATATCTCGTAACATGAAGTTATACTAGTTTTTTTACTATTCAAACCGTAACATAATAGGAAATGTGTACATCTTCCTTGCAGCAAAAATTTAAGGACGCTAGTATTTATCTAAAAGAACTCCTAAGCACAAATATTTCCCGTTCTAGAAATTATATATTTTTACGTGGTAGAGCCACGATGCAGCTATGATTTAGCACCTATGGGTCGGCTCGACCGGGGTAGAACCACACGCTCACAAAATTCCTTGAGTAAAATGGCATCTGAGTTTCGCATGGCGAGTGTAGAGAACCGGAGATCCTTTATAATGACAACTAGGTATTCCCTCTTTGTAATAGCTATGGAGCTATTACAATCGCATACGTATCTGCATTTTGATTCTTAATCGAGGATAGATGTAGATGTCTACGGGTTCATTTGGACTTACCATCAGCTTAATTATATGCTTGTTTGTCACCCTTATTCTATGAAAAATATTTTAAGAATAAAAATTCCACAAATAAAGAAGTATTTTATTAAAATTACTCATTCAATACGAGTTTAAGCGGAAAATCCAACCATCTTGTTCTCCGTTTTGCTCAAAGTAAATATTATCAATCGTAACAAGTTAGTGATTCACAGTACTATTGTTGGGACGACACGTATAGTGTAGTTCTTGGTTTTGAATAGTTCTTTTAAAGAATATTATAACAGCTACTCCTACATCTACTGAGCTTAATAACATAAGTTTTAAATTAAAATAGATCTTTCTGTTAATGGATTTACCCCATTTCTTTTTTTTTATAGAATAAAGGTGAGAAATGAGCACACAGTCCGCCTGATGGTTAGTAGATGCTGTAGTCCAAAGATATAATACATTTATCCTCTATTGAGAATCAAAATGCAGATGCGTTGTCACCCGTGAGGACTAAGACGGAATGCCTCATTTCCAGTAAAAAGAGTCTCCGGTTCTCTACACTAACCATACGAAACAGCAGCATTAAGCTGCTTGCTATGTTACGCTGGTATTCTGTGATAGCGTGGGCCTTCCCTGTTCGAGCCGACCCATTCGTGCTACAACAATAATATAACTGCAGCGTGGTTCTACCGTGTATGACCTCTACCACTTTCTGCTACTGGCTGAGGCAACAAGGTAATCACTTATCTTCTAATCACTAACGGGATTAGAAGATAAGTGATTGTTTGATTGCCCGATTGTAATAAAATATAATATTCTTTTTTCTTCTTTACCAGTCCGATAAAGATATAAACCTCTCCCGTTGTATGAAAGATATACCTTAATCGCTACTTAGACGGATTCGTGAACCAGCACCACACATCTCGCACCTTTGACACTGCCTCCCGTTTCCAGTCTGGATATTTTAAATAATTTACCTTTATGATATGTGGAATTTCGTGGCAGAGGTCTGTTCATCATAATATGCTTTAATGGTGTTGAAAAAATCTACTGTAATCTGCTCTAAAATCTAAAACATTTCTAGTCTTTATATATAAAAATCAATTGCTGTCCGTTAGTCTCGCTAAAACACTGTTTTTTACGTGGTGGAGCCATGCTGCAGCTATATTAGTAGTATAGTTGTAGCACGAATGGGTCGGTTCGACCGGGGAGGGACCACGCTCTCACAGAATACCAGCGTAAAATAGCAGCTTAACACTGCTGTGTTTCGCATGGTGAGTGTAGAGAACCGGAGACCCTTTTTACTGGAAAAGAGGCATTCCATCTTAGTCCTCACGGGTGACAACGCATCTGAATAGTGAATCGCAAACGAGGATAGATGTAGATGTCTATGAGCCACAGCAACCACTTACCATTAGGTGGACTGTGTACTCGTTTGTCACCCTATCCTATATAAAAAACGCGAAAATGGCTCGAACGATGGATGGTTTAGATTAACAATTGGACCCGGTAGGTGGCGCTGTTGTCGAGATCCATAGATCACCCGTGCGATACCGGGGCGAATCGCTAGTGTTATAATATATTGATTATGGTAATGTATGAGTTTAGGTTCTCTTTGGTAAGCTCGACCGTGTCTTAAATAACTACGTGAATGTATCACTTTTATCTTTTTTCTTCACAAGTTCGACTATTTTTCCTCATTCCATACTCTGCTGAAATGGCTACCTATTCGTTAACGAACGTTTTTTAGACATTATTCAATAAGGCGACAATTTAAAGAAAAGTGTCAGTTTCTGTGTGACACTCATGTTCCTCGGGGACTTGGACTCTCTGTATCCTGATTTTTCTTCCTCGCGATTTGCTGTCCAAGCTGCACGCCTCTGAAATGGACTGCCTGAAAAATTAAGACATTCCATCAGAAAATACACATTTAAGTATAAAATACGGAATCAATCTTTAGGAATTTCTTTTTACTTTACTTATTCTCAAAGAGAGAAGAAAGCTTAAAACACGATGGATCTTTTTAATTGCCTATAGTTTGTGTCGTTCACTATCCACGAAGGGTATTATGAATGTGAAAAACCTTTTAAAGATATTTAAAACAATAAAAATTGCTTCATTTTCTTACCTGTTGGCGACTTGAAGTTACTGTATTCCTGTGCTAATGCATATCTGATTTTTACAAATTGAATATTTATCCAATGAGAGGAATTTATGTTATTAATTAGTTTGTAAATATTATTTAATACATTGCTATTGTTCATTAGTCATAAAATAATCGAACGTTTATAAAAATACATATCATCATCATTACAGCCCTTCACAAGTCCACTGCTGAACATAGGCCTCCCCCAAGGAATGCCATAAAGCACGGTCCTGAGCCACCTGCATCCATCGACTTCCTGCATGTCTTACCAGATCCTCACTCCATCTAGTGGGGGCCGCGCCACACTTTGGCTTGAGGCTGCCACTTGAGAACCTTTCATCCCGATCGGTTGTCGGTTCTTCGAGCTATATGGCCGGCCCATTGCCATTTCAGCTTACTAATGCGTTGGGCTATGTCGGTCACTCTGGTTCTACAGCGGATATCGTCATTTCTAAGTTTATCACGCAGAGAAACCCCAAGCATAGCCCTCCCCATAGTTCGCTGAGTGATCTTGAGCTTCCTCATACGGCCAGCATTGAAGGAGCACGTCTCAGATCCATAACGTTAATAAATAATATAAATGTAGAAGTCTCTGTGTATTGAGTAGTCTATATTCGTAAATTGTGCTAATATTCTCACTTAACTTCAAAGTGGGAAGTTTTGTTGTTATGTATAAATTAGAAGCGAATCAGTAAAGCGTTAGTATGAGGATTTGATGTTCTACAGATTCACAATGATACGAAAAGTAATACTAATAGAAATTTTATTTGTCGTTTTTGTTGTAAGCGTCAATGGAGGTACGTTTTTAAATATATAATTTAATTATACGTGTAGTTATGGCTGCGACATGCCAACTGGCTTCATTAGCTTTTGCAGTTAACAGCCCAGCCCGGCGCCGTTCAAGTAGCGGCCTGAATGATATTCAGCCGATGCGTCTAATACACATTGCATGATTGCACCTATAATGTATTAATAGCCGCGTACGCGGCTTTACTGTAACTTAGCGTGGCCTAAGGGTCACTCCAGCCGCACCTTACTGTCACTGAGGCCACTCGTTGAACGGCACCGTTTAGTAAAAAGGCTAGGCTGTTAACTGAAAGTCTAATATTTTTTTATATTATTTTATAAGATAAGGGTGACAAAACAGTCCATCTGATGGTAAGTGGTTGCTGTGGCTCATAGACATCTACATCTATCCTCCATTACGAATCAAAACGCAGATGCGTTGTCAGTCGTGAGGACCAAGATGGAATGCCTTTTTCCTGTAAAAACAACAGGTTGGTTTACGGTTTTCTACATTCACCATACGAAACACAGCAGCATTGAGCTGCTATTTTACGCTGGTATTCTGTGAGATTGTGGTCCTTCCCCGGTCGAGCTGACCCATTCGTGCTACAACTATACAATATAGCTGCAGCATGGCTCTACCACGTTTAAAAATTAAGCTTTTATTGTTATTATTAATTATTTTCTAATATTTTGCATCAGGGCTTATGAAAATAATATTTGTGCATTACTATAATAGTATTAATCACCGATTCGAAATAATGTTTATTTAAATGTTTATTTAAAAATGTTTATTTAAAAATATGGTAGGAACTAGAAATTACACCATTCGTTCATTACAGCCTTTGAAAAGTCCACAGGCGAACATAGGTCACCTCTCAAGTTGTCTTACAGGTGGAGATTTGCTATAGTTGCCACTTGCCACACTTGGTAGGGCAGGTTGGCAACCGTAATTTTTTTATTATTTTGGGTTGTTGTCAGGAAGTTTCTGACCATGTCTTGTTTCTTTTTCTCTGTCGCCTTTTACGACTTGTTTTACACTACTACTACATTACCTAATGACATCAGTTATTTTAAAATAAATATTTTTAATTTAAGTATAATATATTTCATAACCTATTTAATTTTTTTTTAATATTTTTTATAGGGACCCGAGTAGGTCGGTCGCCTCAATTGGGGTTTAGTGAAGCAAAAGCACAAGCGGCATCGTTCGGAGGTGGTTTTCCGCATCATCATCACCATGGGCCTGAATCTGGTAATTTTGGAGGCGGTGGGTTTGGAGGCGGTAACCGAGGCTTCAGTGGACGACCCGGGTTCGGCGGTGGTCCCGCTGGTTTCGGCGGTGGCCCGGGAGGTTTCGGCGGTGGCCCGGGAGGTTTCGGCGGAGGCCCTGGTGGATTTAGCGGTGGTCCCGGTGGGTTCGGCAGACCTGGTGGGCTTGGCCACGGAGGAGGATTTGGTGGACCCGGATATAGACAAATACCACAAGGATCTATTAGCATAGCCAAGAGTATAAGCATAAATACTGGTGGAGGCCGAGGCACTGCTGCGTCTAGTGCGAATGCTGGTGCTTTTGGAAAGTGATGCTACAGCACTATGGAATAGAGTTAGTACAGTTATTAGGAGAGCTAAAAATTTAAAGTTATTGCAGTCTTGCCCAAAATACCACAAGTCCATTTGAATTTGCTTTAGATACGGTTCAATAATTTGGAACGATAGATTAAAATAAATTAAATTAAAGAGGGCATCCACAAAATTTTCTGCCACCAGGGCGGCGCCACTTAAAAGTGAGGTATAATATTTGACATATTTCATAGCGGGGAAGTAAATTAGTTCGAAAAATGTAAAGGTTAATGTTTATTTCTGTATAATTAGCTATATTTTATATTAATTAGATTAAAAATAAAAAAGCCACAGATATTCATAAAAGTAGAATAAATTTAGAAAAGTATTAAAATGTGCAAGAAATGAAAGAGCAAACCACTGAGGAATTGTTTTGTGTATTAATATAATACTCTAGAAAATGATATACTTTTATTTAAAACCAACTTCTCAATTAAATGTCATTGAGTAACATAAAAACTTTACCTCAGTATCAACTAGCGACATCTGGTGAGCAGAAAATTATTAACCCTCATTATAATAGAAATAAGAAAGAGAAATAAAAACTTACGCATATTTTTGCCCTTTATTTGTTTTATTACTTCATTTTTACGACATTAATGTAATAAACGAAGTGGATTCTGCATGGTTAGTGGTAATTGGTATCTTTAACCATCTCTAAGCAAAGATGAGAGTTAAACTTTTAAAAACGTGTTTGTCTAACGGTTTGTGTGGAGACCTTGCGATCCTTTTTTATTTCTAAAGAGATGTATTATCTTTGTCCTCAGGGGAAAAAACGCATCTACATTTTGATTTCTAATCGAGGGTACCTTATGTTTTTATTTAAATATTATTCAAATTTTTAATGTTCGTTACATGTGTTTTATTGATTTCTACACTCACGTTCTGTGAGAACCGTGTAGGGAGCCGAATTAGGGCCCAAAGTAAAATCCTTGAATCCTTATCCTATAAAGTTATTAATATGATAACTCTTTATATTGATCGAATTAACGAATATTACTATCGATTTTCAACTTAATCGGTTCAGTAGTTTCGGCGGGAAGCTTGAACCCGCGGCCTTTAGCGCTGCAACTCATTGCTGAGCCACTGCCCCACGGAGTCATCATCATTCTCTAAACCATTTCCCATTATCTGGGGTCGGCGCAGTAAATCTTTTTGTTCCATTCCTCTCTATCAGCCGTCATTTCCATACTTACTCCTTTCATTCTCATATCACTCTTCACACAATCGATCCATCTTTTATTCGGCCTTCCTCTGCCCGTGTGTCCCTCCACATTCATATTCAACACTCGTTTTGTGACATGACTTTCATTCCTCCGCATCACATGCCCAAACCATGCCAATCTGCTTCCTCTCACCTTTTCTACCACTGGCGCTACTTTCAGGCTTCCTCTTATATACTCATTCCTTATCTTATCCATCCTTGTCACACCACACATCCATCGTAACATTCTCATTTCATTCGCATGCAGTCTATTTTCATCCTTCTTCTTGACGGCCCAGCATTCACTTCCATACATGACGACAGGTCGGATGATCGATTTGTAAATTTTCCCCTTCAGCCTTATTGGCATTCGGGGATCGCACGTTGTGGCTGTGACCTGTCGCCATTTCATCCACCCTGCGTTAATCCTATGCTGCACCGCTCTATCTATTCTGCCGTCGCCTTGAATGAGGGAACCGAGGTACTTGACATCTGAGCAGATAGGCAGTATAGCGCCATCCAACGACATGGGTACAGGACTGGAAAGACCGCCGAAATCACAGCACAGATATTCGGTTTTGGATCTGCTGATCTTCAGGCCAACACTTTCCAGCCTCCGTTGCCACCCCGTCAGTCTGCTCTGTACTTCGATGCCTTCTTCCCCGACAAGCACGATGTCATCGGCAAAGAGCATGCACCAGGGTGCCTCATCCTGCAGGTCCGACGTCAAAGCGTCCATAATCAGTAGGAAGAGGTAAGGGCTCAGTGCCGACCCTTGGTGCAGCCCCACCGCCACATCGATACTGCCCGTAGTTCCCGCGGCAGATCGTACACATGTACGGGATGCTCTGTACATAGCACGGACCAACCTCACATACTTCCCAGGCATACTTTTCATCTTTAACGCCCACCACACGACCTCACGGGGAACCCGATCGTACGCCTTTTCAAGGTCGACAAAAACCATGTGCAGATCTTTATGCACGCGCTTGTACTTTTCGCACAATTGGCGTAATGCGAAAATGGCACTGCCCCACGGAGTCGTCATACGTATATTATAATTTTACTACACGTAGGTTGACCATATCAATTTAACGTCTCGAAGTGCATAACTATGACTTTCAGCCGTGCACTATCTCCAGTTACGTACCAATACCAAATTAACGGGGTACCAATAGTGAAAGTGTCAGAACTCAGAGATTTAGGGGTTAATTTCTGTTCTAAACTAGAATTTCGAGAATACGTAACCAAAATCTGTAAAAAAGTCTACAGAAATTTAGGATTCCTGCTTCGGGTAGCCAGAGGCTTCACTAATATCAAGGCAAATACTACATTGTACATATATAACTCTTTAGTGAGGAGCCAATTAGAGTTCAACGCAGTCATCTGGTCCCCACATGAAACTAAATATAGTATCATGTTGGAGAGAGTGCAGAATATATTTATTAGATATTTATATAAAAAATGTATGGAGTATACCCATCTTACCCAAATAAGTATCCTACCTTACTCACCTTAGGTATGGTAGGATACAATGAGCTAAAAGTTAGAAGGAATTTAGCGCTAGTCTCATATATCTTTAAGGTGATGAGGGGATAGATTCACAATCCAGACGTATTGCAATAAGTGAGCATGTGTGTTCTGGACAGATACGTAGGTCACTCAATAAGTTTTGAGATATACAAAAAGTATTCTAGATACTATTAATATTTATTTTACATCTTTTCAAATTATTCTCCATTATGCTCTATACAAAGTTCAATTCGCCTAAACCAAATCTGAAAACACTTTTGCCAGTCTTGATCTGAGGGGTCGGAAATCGATTCTTCGTAGGCAGCCACGGCTTCTCCGGCGCTTGAAAAAAACTTGCCTTTTATTTATTCTTTGCCTCTTGGGCACAAAAAGAAAACACAAGGAGCTAAGTTAGGGCTGTAGGGTGGGTGACTTAGAGTTTCAACACCAGATTCGTAAATAAATGTTTTTGTTCTAAGGGAGGTATGTGAAGAGGCGTTATCGTGATGCAGCATGATTCCCCGAAGCCTGGTGTTTGGTCTTTTCTCTCGCACAGCTTGAAAGCTTTGGGTAATACAAATGTAGTATATCATTCAGAGTTGACTGACCTACAATTTTCCAGCATTGACGTCGACAAATGTCCGCTCCGCGAAAAAAAAACTAGCCACCATTTTTTTTGCCGACGTTGTGAGGTCTTTGCAGTTTTGTCGGTAACCAGAATGAATAGACCCATACCGATTATTGCCTTTTATTTTTCGGATCATATTGATAAATCCATGTCTCGTCACCAGTAACGATTTCTGAAACACGCCTAGATGCCCCGTTTTCAAAACGTAGACGCATTTCATGGCACCAATCCACACGACTGTTTTTTGCTTTCGGAGAGCAAACGAGGGATCCATCGACTACAAAGTTTCCTCACTCCAAGATGTTGATGTAGGATGGTATGAATGCTCTCCGAACTAATGCCTACAATCTTTTCGATGTCCGTATATGTGATTCGTGGGTCTTCTCGCACAAAAATTTCAGTAGTCCATATTCTGCCGTTACTGCTGTTTGCGGGGCCCCGGTTCTTTGGTCATCTTTAAGATTAATTTTACCCTTTTTGAATTCAGCAAACCGTCTAAAAATTGTTGCACGTGATGGAACTGAGTCCCCTAATGCTGAATGTAACCATTGTAAACTGAATTCTTCGGTTAAACCAAATTTAAAATCATAATATATCATAGCACCCAAACGTTCACGTTTAAGATCCATCGTTTTAAATGAAAAGTGCGGGAAGCGTTGCAGGAAAATTAATAGAACTTTGTTTTTTTTTAATATTGAGCTATTGGCTTATGGAGATATATTTTTAAATAAATTTGCTTTTTAGAATACTATAACACGGGTGCGTTCCATTTTTAAATTTCGAGCATCTCAAAATTTATTGAGTGACCTACGTACGTGTGGCGGCGGCGGCGGCCGCGGCCTCTGGCAGTACCGCGCGGCCGCACTAAGCTGGTGAACGAGGCGCCGTTTACGAGCGCACTCCATATCCTCAACCGTATAGCAGAAGACACAGATCTATTTTGTTGTACTCTGGGTGGGTTAATAGTGAAAGCTCTCTTTGAAAGAAGTTATGGTCCTACTGTGACATAGATATGGTGTTTATAACAGAAATAAGTACGTCAATATTCAATAATTATTAGATTGTAGCTGTGTAATTGTAATTGTAGTTTGTAAAAATAGTTGTCTACATTACAGCATTAGGTGATAAACCTGTAATGATAACTGTATAGTGGGAAATAAAATAAAATAAACTATTGGTAAATCTAATTGTGCATGCATCACGCGCATAAAAAAAAACGTATAACATGATTATACCTAAAGGAGATGTGCGAAATTGGGTGCTTGACATCGTTCGTAACAGTTATACAAAAATATGTAGGTAATAAAACGAAAAATATAAGCATAAATAAATGATTTTTGTTTCTGTAATGCTTGGGACAATCATAAAAACATTTTTTAAAAACTGAAATATAAATGTAATGCTTTTTTGCTTTAGCAAAAACGAAACGTTTTTTAAATATCTTTCTGTATTCTGTCTATGGCAATAGATAATGAAGGTTATTTTAATAATAAAATAGCCTTCCTTACATACCAAAAAGAAATTCATAATATTGAAACATTGACGCGAATCTGTAGCAATTAATATTGAATAAAATAATATATTTAGAAAACGATTGAATAGGCTATGTCATTAAAC